TTATCTAGTAGAAATAGTGGATACTCTAGAAGAACTGTTAACCTGTGGATCGAAAGGTTACATTTATTTAGAAAGGGGTTTTCGTAAAATTGGTGTGTCCCAGTATTATACTTAATTATCAACTCTTTGTCACCTAATATTGAATGAGTGAGCATTACAAACATTACTACAGGTAATGCCTTGATTCCGTGATATATTAATAAATTCACCATAAATATTGTTAGTACATCCAAAGAATGCTTAAATTGCAGTTTCTTGGAAAAATCATAGTATGATCCTATATAAGTATAGATTTGGGTAGAATGCAAGCGTAGAGGATGATTAAAGGACAAATATGTACATTTGCAATTACAACGCCTCTACAAACCGCTTTAAAAATTCTGTAACATATTTTTTTATGAATAAAAAAGGTGAAGATAACGAACAGTAATCAATCTAAAACAAAATCTACAAACAATACAAATCTGTAAAAAGGGCATAAACACGGACCGCCAGAAATTCCAGAGTTGTGATCAGGTGTCTAGGAGGAGTAAGCACATCCCCAGTCGACCGGCCACAACCGCTATGAGCCCTGTGTATTTATCAGATAGACGGAATAACCTGTAGTCAAATTTAGTATAAAATTAAAGTCTTAACAATTGGTAGCCAAAATACGACCCATTGATAGCTTATATTTGCCAACAAAGTCATTATACATTCCATAGAATTTACGAAATGCTGACTTTAAACGAAGTTGTTGCAATTCGTGTAACATAAATTAATCGTCAGTAGCCTGCCTCTGTTTAAAAATTGATCATGCTGTTGAGAACCGAATAAGCTGGGATACTACATAAATAAGAAAGGTTGACATTGGAATATTTCCTCTACCTGATTAGTTCATAGGGCTCACGACGGATGTGATCGGTCAACAGGGGATGCTTACTCTTTCTAGGCACCTGATCCAACCTCTGGATTTCCGGGGGTCCGTGCTTTATGCTCTGTTCACAGATTTGTATTTTTTTACAGATTTTTTTTTAAATTAATAGTTCGTTATCTTCACATTTTTCATTATTTTAACTTTTTTCGTATTGAATAATTTTGATCACTGCTGCAAATTCATTACAAAACATTTAAATAATTTTATTGTTAATTTGTTTTAATACCAGAGAAATAACTTATTATCAGTGCAGAAAAGTCGCTTAAATGATAATGTCAGGTAATTTGGACTTTTATTTTTTTCACGGTTTCAAACTGTCTTTTTACGTAGAATGAGACTGTATTTGGTGCGCCATAATTCACTTACGTATAAAATATACTTGAGGAAAATTAATTTATGTGTAATATGTGGCGATTATTGTGCAGGAAGGACGTAGTAAATGTACGTTTGCCTTGAAAGACACACATTGAACCCCTTTTTCCGTAATGATTTTTAATGTAAGCAAGTTTTGCTCTTTAAGAGAAAATTTCCCTCCAGATTTAAAAAAAAAAAAACAATATTAAACTAGATTTCTTTTATTCATCAAATTTCTTCGAATCATTCATCTGATAAAAAAAAATTGCTTCTTTTTTCTGAAGACGAGCCCAATAACTCTGGAGGAAGAGAATTTTGATTACAAATGTGGGTTGAAAATAATACTTATTATTGGAACGACATTTCTTGTGATCTAATCATTCCTCGCTGAGGATATATTTGTCAGAGTAGGTATCAGTAATTTCATTTGTACGTAGAGCATTCTCTTGCATATCGAATCAACTGAGAGATATAAACCCCGTATGCAGGAGATAATGGTATATTGCTGAATACGTAAGGGAAATTGACGATTGAAAAGTTAATGTCATCACGTTTATCATGAACTTAGTTGTTAGGTTACCATTAACGTTTTTTTTTTTCCTTTAAAATATATATTCTTTTCAAAGTTTTTTTTTACAACCTTTCACATCTCAGTGTACCTATTGATGCGTCTTATGTCTTTCACAATGCAATGATTTTTGTTTTGTTTTGTTTTGTTTGTTTTTGCCTTTTTGCTTAACGTCAGTTTAGACCTTAACTCGGCACTCAGGGCCATAGAGCAGTGAGGGATCTATTTCGTGCCAGCAAGCACTGCGACACGGACCTCGATTTATATCCTTCTACACGTCCTGCAGTGGGATTTGAACTCTCGAAGTAAGGATAAACTCCTTAATCCGCGACCCTGGAGAAAACGCTCTAACCACTGCGCCACGAGTGCGACTTGTTTTTTAAAGCTTTGTTTGTTGGTTCTTGTTATTGGTGTAAAATTGGAAGTAAGGAATACAGATTTGGTTACATTCTGTTTAGAATTTATTTCTATGAAGCCTTTGCCCATTATCACCTCATAGTAAAATTATGTCGAAGATTCTACAAGATCTAAATTTGGCCCTCTTAATTGTTAGTTAATAAGGAATATTTTGCTTCTGTAAAGCATGATTACTAAAGAAGGACTGCACAGGTAGTGGGTTTGTGATTTGTCACTAGATGTAAGAACATAAAATAATGAATATGATTAACTATTACCCCAGCAGTAAAATAAATTATCTTGGTATGCGTTGAATAAAACTGATATTTACACAATTTTTGTGTGTGTGAGTCAGGAACTGTTCTCAGCATATCTTAGAAAGTTTGGACAATAGTTTTTGGGAGATTGTGGGGCAAAGAGGAATATTAGATGAGCATCAGATGAAAAATGCCAGTGCGGGATTTGTTTGGTGCATTTTGCATCGGAAAAGACTACACTGTTGCATAAGCATGAAGGAATCGTTTTATAGGTAAGATTTTCAAAAATGAATGGAGGAATTTTCTGTCTAAGTACCCTCTCATAGGAGTTATTATACACTAGTGTAATGGTATTCTATTTCAGTTCGGTACAGTTCAATGTTTTGTTAATTCTAAAATGTTTAAAATTGGATGGAATTCTATTTCTAAACATATTGTACATATAAAAAAATTATACAGCTTACAGATGTTCAAACAAAATAAAGCAATCAGAGATAGAAGCTATAATCGCTAAGAATAATTATTTTTCTGACTAAGACCGATTTTTTTTTTTCAAATTACAGATCTTCCATTCTATTATCCTATTCCAAAAATACTTTACAGCGCCTAGATATCGAACAAATGAAACACAATCCTCCTATGTGTTTATGTTCTTCTTCTCTCCTTACAACTATAGTCCTGCTTGACATGTCATTTCCAGTTGACTTGAATGTAGTTAACAATGATGACCTTAATTAAATCACTCAAAAGAACCAAAATTTGGAAACTCTGATCGTTCAACTGGCGACAAAACTTCATGAATATTATGAATTCTGTCGACGATTATGCCAGACGATGGGTCAAATATGAAAAAGGCCTTGTCACTTTGCCAGAACGGATTAAAGGTATAAGATGGATGTTGAAATCTCGCATTAAACAGTTGAGGAGCACCATGAAAATCACATATCCTTCTGTTTTCAATAATTCAGAAGTGAAAAAAAGAATAAGATCGAATACACGATCAATATACACTGATCGTATACATTAATTGCATATTGATATATGTCCCAGCTTACAAAGCAGGTATCAAAATACATGTAAAACTTGTTTTTAAGGCTCATAATTACAATTACATTTTAGAGGAATTTGAATTTAATTCTACAAGTTGTTTTTTAGGTTAGTTCCTATGCATAGTTCCCTCTCTAAGCAGGAATTCTGCACAATCATATCTCAGTTTTAAATAACGTTATTGTTCAAAACAATGAAATTGAATTTGAAATACCATACCTATACTGGATTCCTAAACGTCATAATAATCTTACAAACTAAAATACATAGTGAGATCTAGTAAATGTTCTTAACGCCTCTTTTTCTACTTCTCACGAAAATATAATCTGCGGTAAATGAGACACTTTAGGAGTACAGTACAACAACGTATTTTGGGACAGATAGGGATACAGAAAAGTTCCAAGGAAATTTTAGATGAAATCTGAAAAAACAAAATCTTCCAAAAAAGACCAGGTTCTATGACATCATAGACAACTGTTTCTTCAATATGAAATGAAATTCAACGATTTGAATATCTTGTTATTGTTCATCTGCGACCTTATTTTGGAAGAAACATTCTGATTCTGAAGTTTTATGGCCCCAGAGCCAGGTCTTCAATCAACCTTTTGAAATTCCTGTTGGTGCTAATTGAGGCCCCTTTTTAGCAAACCTGTTTTGTTTTAGATGAAGCAGAATTTATTCAAAAACTTCTACATGAAATAAGCTCTCTTGCAGTGGTCGTGGTCTTCTATTCGACATTTGAGCTTGAATATTGTTCGTTATATCCATATATTTCATTACATATATTGACGACATTTTATCAATTAACAATATTCAGTTTCATTACTACATTGATTCGCTATATCTCATTAAACTCGAAACTAAAGACACCACAGAGTCTGGCACATCTTTTTCATATTTGGATACTTTTCTAGAGAAAGACATTGATGGCAAACGGACATTTAAACTTCATGATTATTTAATTTTTCTGTAGTCAACTTTCTTTATACGATTTTCATCTGCTTATGGAGTTTATGTCTCTCAGTTGATTCGATACGCAAGAGCATATTCTGGGTACGAACAATTTCTAAATCGAGGCCGGCTTTCGATAAATAAATTGATAATACAAGTAAATCAGCTATTTTTTAAAGTCAGCATTTCAAAATTCAATTATCGATAAAATGACCTTGTTTACAAATATAATCTTTCGTTAAGTTGAATGTGGCTAACATTTTTATATAAATTGTTAGACCAGTATTTTCACACTGAATTGTCCACAGATTTTCCGTTTTCTCGATCATGACAAGGATCACATGGCGGGTGTGACGGTCGGCATGGGATGCTTACTCATCCATAGCACCTGATCCCAACTCTGATGTTTTAAGAGGTCCGTGTTTGCACTGCTCCCGATTTTTATTGTTTCAATGGACTTTTGAGCTTAATTGCTGTTCGTTATCTCGATATTTGATCTCCATATTTTCAGTGAATTTTTCGACCACAGAATCAACTTTATTCGACACTCCTGATCAAACAACACTTTTCGAAGAATCTTCAAAATCCTATGGTAATCATAACTGATGATAATTAAGTTTTCAATGTTATTGAGATAATATTTTCGTAATTTAACCAGATTTTAATCTAATCGTCTTTTTTATAATTCCTTTCAACAATGTCAATATTATCAGGCGTTAGTTACACGTGAAAGACGTAAAATGTGGTCTTCTTTGAAAAGGAGCACGAAGTACATCGAATTTTAAATTGGTTATCAATAATAACAGGAGACATTATAAAATACTTTTTGGTGAACTTTTTGGTGAACAGAGGCATCAGTCATAACAGAATCAGTTTCATCAGGCACAGATGAACAATCAACATCACTACCCAAGGGGAAATCAGTAAAGGCAAATGGTAATTATGGATTTTCCTTTTGTGCACAATTGAACCTTACTCGGCATGAATAGCCAAAGAGGGAATTCGTTTGTTAATTTATTTCATTACTGGGAAAAGATATGATGGATTTTACATACATTCATATTTAACTGATATAACTCTAAAAGTGTTTTTTTACAAAGCATTTATACATTTACCTTCTCTTTTAAAGTAAAAAGTTTTAAACTGATGTTTCATTGTAAAGGTAAAACACCTTCATACTGTGATGACTTGCATCACCAAGAACCGCAAGTGGATTTTGTGTCAAATATTGAAAACATCGATGAAATGGTATATATTTTATTTTCCCTTGGATGGAAATCTCTCACTTTCATTGGTTTAAACACGAAACATGACTGCCGGCTGTATTTCTGTGTCCAGAAAGTGAGAATTAATATCTGGCAATATGGCTGACACCCTGCGCTTACACTTTGATATTAGAAATCATTTAGAGTAGTGGACCTTTCAAGAAATGATGCCAGATTTGTTGTGTCTGCATCACAAGTGGTGGTGGCGTCGAGACGATAGATCAAAAACATTTAAAATAAAAAGAAATGATTTAAAGTAAAAGGTGCTCCAAGTTTTTGTTAAGATTACTTGATGCGGGACAGTAAAAAGTGAGATTTATAATTTGCTACGTCGTGCAACCCTTCCCCACTTTTTGTTGTGTTGCGGAAGGGAGGAAGTGAGCCTTGTTCACGATATTGCGAAAAGAAATTACCAAATTTTAGAGGGCGATCCTTTCCAAGTTTTGGCAGTTTATGTTTTTTTCTTGCTTGTCACTTGTGTATGTGTGTGTGCCCCCTCCTTTTTTGGATAAACGTAGCTACGGGCCTGTCTTATTTTTATGTGTTCAACATTATAAATCTCGAAAAAGTAAACCACTCCGATCCATTAATATTGTGATCAACTTGATATATTTCTAAACAGTCAGTAACAAATCTAATAAATGATTTTATCCTATATAGTAATTAATTGTTTGTTTGTTTATTTGTTGTTTAACGTCCCTCTCGAGAATTTTTCGCTCATATGGAGACGCCACAACTTGCCGGTGGAGGGCTGCAAATTTTGACCTATGCTCGGCACTTAGGGCCATTGAGGAGTGAGGGATCTTTTCCGTACCAGCACCTTCTGCTACATAGGACCTCGGCTTTTACGGTCTCATCCGAAGGACCGGTTTCCACGTCCCGCAGTTGATTCGAACCCGTGGCGTAAGGATCTACTCTTTACACCACAACTCAAGAGCAAATGCTCTAACCACTGCCCCACGCGGGCGACTTGTATATAGCAATTGAGTTTACTTTAGAAAAAGCAAGTTGGCAATACTATTATGTTTTACCTTAACATATATAGCTAAGAAGAATACAAGTCCTAGTAACTTTTTTATCCAGGTTGATTCAGTTTTTAGAGGAAACTTATCAAATACTGAAATAGAGCTGACGATTGGCAATGCACTACTCAAATTAAAAGACATTTTAATCAACAACGAGCAAAATCCAGAAGATTTGGACACCTTCATAAGCCTATTAGATAAAATTTTAGATGTCAGGAACAACTCGAATGTTCCTCTTCCAAGGACGGTATATACATTTTACTTCTTAAATTATCTTGAACCACTAACTCTTTTTCTTGTAAATTCCTCAATCTTTATAGATTGCAATCCAGGTGATTGTGACAACAGTTGACAATCTACTTGCTGAGAATCCTACTGCTGCATGGAAGAACATGCCCACAAATCAGGTTATTATTATTTTGTGAATAATGTAAAATGAACAATTCTAAATATGACTATTTTCCTAAAATAACTGTTATATATCCATTACACAGGTGGGTGCAAGAGTCAGTAAAATCTTTGGAATGGTAGACAAATTTTGCTTACATATCTTAGAGACCATCAATGAGTTTGAAAGCATCACTTTTAACTCAACAAAAAACATTGGGTTTTTTTCAGAAGTACAGAAAATTCAAGATACGGTATTTCTTCTGATATCATATCATTAACACTAGGAGACCATTTACTTGGAAAGCATTAAACCCTTCATTACAATTAAAGTTTTTGAAACAGGAGGTGAGTTTTATTCAAAGAAATCAAAAGAAAGAATTTTTCAGGTTGCTGTTACATTATTTTCTTACAATTTTCTATGTGTTTGTTTATTTTCAATATAGGATTTCAACAATTCCATCAACGAATGTGTATTTTGGGATTTCCTTCAATCGTTAGTATTGCATTATTGAGAACATTAATTTGATTTTAAGGATTATCATAAATACAGCAATTCATAATAATCATGAAGATATCATGATGTGTTTGGTGAAGTAACATGTCTATTACAGTGACAAAAATTTTGGGCGGTCAACAATTGGATGTGATTTGAAATCTACAGATAATCTCTATCTTAACTGTGAATGCAACCATCTAACAAATTTTGCAGTACTGGTGCGACCATATTCAACGGTAATCATTGAAATATCTTTAGCATATCAAATACAACATTTTCATATATGAAAATATTTTTTCAGTGTGTTTATAGATAAGGAATATTAGTAGACATTTAGCTGTCCTTGTAGACTCAAGACAAAGAAAAGGCATTGAGCTGGATATCTTTAATTGGATGCTCGTTTTCAGCGTTTTTTTCTTTGCTGACGGAAATTGTTTACATCGTTCTTTGGAAGTAAGAAGTACAGATTACTCAGGCGTTTTGCACTGTTTTTCATTCATAAATCATGGATCAGGGTAATTGAAGATTTTTTTCCCTTTCTTGCAGATCTATTACATGTGACGTCAGCAGAATGGTAAATTATAAGATCACAGTGTTTCTCTGCCTCAGTATTGCCATGGCTTACACGATATTTCTACTTAGAATTGATAAGATTCAGTATAAAGTAAGGTTTAGGATAATTATTGAAGAAATTATTTATGTGTACATATTTATTGTAAGCTTATAACCTTACTTACTCCTAGATATATCAAATATAATATAGGAAATGAACTTTGCAGGAATGACCCTATCCGTTTGTAAACCAAGGCACCTCCCCAAAAATGCCTTAAATTTGGCAAGACTATCTTAAAACTTTGGCCGGAGCCAATGAATACATATACATTCGCAACTCTTACATACTAATTTTTGAAGTGTCGTTCAAATACGGGTCGATTTGGTAGTTTTCTCAAGAAGATCTTAACTCATGTGTTTTATTTTAATATGTTTTGGAATGCTATAGCATCATAAATGATTAAGCATTGTGTATTTTGAGATAAGCAATAGTTTTCCACCAACTTACGCATGATTATATTTGTCTTTTCCTTTAAATGTTGGCAAAGTCTTTCATTAATTGTTTCAGTTGATTTCATTAGAGAGAGGGATACGATATCAGAGCTCACTGTGACGGGTCTGTTATTTATTATGTTTCAGATCGGGTGTTTTGTGATTACAGCACTATTACAGTATCTGTTCCTGTTTGTTTTCTTCCTCATTCTTCTTCATTTTCTAAACCAACATTTCAAAGTAATGCCGATTTCTTCGGCAAAAATGTTTGGGGAATTGTAGCTGGTGAGTGAAACATTCATTTAAAGGAGTACGAAAAACCAAATAAAAAATGACACTGTTTGCAATTGTAAAGGGCCTTCGAATCTGTAAATGTCAGTATAAAAATAACCTTACTTTATTTTAGTTATGCCAGTGTTTATAACCGCAGTGACATTTGGAGTTGCTTTTTCATTGGACAAGGACTACCATTCAAAAGCCAGGTTCAAATGGTCATTTATATCTTAAAAGACGTTTTTATAAGCATAATAAAAAGCGAATTTAATGTTTCAAGAAAAATGTGTTTTATCATTTTACAGCTGCTGGTTATTATTTGAAATTGGGGCTTTGTATGGCTTTGTTGGACCTGTAGCTTGCATAGTTCTGGTAGAAAATCGTCATTTTTAAAATATATTTTTGATGTAAATTAACTAAATATATTGATATAATAAAAGTAATAGGGCATGCAAAACTAATATTTAGGCAAAAGGAAGCATATGGTATTGATTTATTAGGTTTCAGTTATCTGGATTATTGTTTTGATTGCCAAAGCAAGGTCTATGATATCTACCTACTAACAATCTTGGCAAAGCAAACTCTTCAGTACGAATCTTATTTTATTTTATTTATTTCTTATTTAGATCAATATTGTTATGGTACATGTATAATCCTCTCAATAACACTGTGTTCAATAGGATTCTCACCACAAGACAAAAGGAAAAAAAAGATATTGTAAGTTAGTTTCATTATTAATGCAGAGATGTTCACAGGATGAAATTTTACCTTTCAGTCGACAGAATATTAACTGAATGACCACTGAATGGTCACTAAAATGTTATTTAAGTCTGTCAGTGACCTTTCAGTGGTATTAGGTCAACGGAAAGGCAGGTACAGCTCAGTGACCTTTCAGTTATCTTTCAGGTGTATATTTTTACCTAATAGTATGCTTATCACTTATTTTCTTTCATTTTCTCTTAAACTGGTACTATTTGGTCAAGATAGCCTAGTGGTAGGGCGCTCGCTTCATGATCGGGAGGCTCGGTTTCTATTCTCGTGCGTCGCGCTGCGTCAAACCTAAGACGTAAACATAGGTAGTGACTGTTTCTTCGCCAAGCGCCCGGCACTAGAAGTGAAAGTCACAGGTCTCTCGGAAGAGACGTTAAAAACCGAGGTCCTTTGTCACGTACGGTGGGCGTTTACGCGATAAAGAACCCTCACTGCTCAATGGCCCTGAGTGCCGAGTATAGTCTAAATTTGACGGCTCGAATGAGACGTTCAACAACATGCAATCAATTCATCAATAAACTAGTATTAAATTCATCTTTTTTTCAAAAAAGAATTACAAAAGTGAAATTAAAAAAAAATAATGCAAGCCATTAGTGGAGTCGAGCTTGGTACCTCCTTCACGAGAGTTTGTTACATAATCCATTACGCCATACCAACTACGAAGAGAAATGTAATTGGAACATTTTGTCAACCTATTATCTGTCAAGGGGCTTGGGTATGTGTATGAATACCAAGTATATAACGAGTATTCTATATGTTAATTGCGGATATGGGGAGGGGGAGGGTAATCATTGCATACCTCTAGTTAGGATAATAACAATTATCGGAGACGGTTACATATAAATGGCCACTGAAAAGTCACCGATTTTCATTTTAAACTGAAATGTCTGATTTCACCTGTGATTTAAAATTATCTGAACTCAAACTGAGTCAAAAACATTTTTAAAGTAGGTATACAAACGATTGTTAAAATGCAATGCAACTTCTTGGAATCGTTTCAGAGCCGGAATAATGTCCATATGTACCCTGTTACCTGTTCTCGTAGTGACCTGGTTAATTGGTCTCTTATCTATTGATGACGATGTTGTCGTGTTTCAGCATTCATTTTCTCTGTTAAATTCCTTTTAGGTATATAGTAAAATTTTAATATTTGTGGATAAAATTATCATCACTAAGCGGATTATCTAAAACATTACATTTGATACTGAAATCTCTTTTCAAGGGACTTTTCATTTTCATCTCCAAATGTCTTCTTAGCAGAAAGGTAAGGACACGTTCATCCTATTGATATTGATGGTTTTCGATAATATTTTTATAGCTATATCAGAACAAAATGAGTAAAAAAATTTAAAATTGACGTTAAAGACTTAAAACTTATGTAATGTTGATAAAATGCATCTGCTTGAATCTACTTTGAGTTTTTTATTCCGGCTTACTGTAATTGATTGATTATCAAAAATAAATGTCATGCTACAGATCAGAAAGTTGCTTTGTGAGAGCATACACAAAAAGCATTCAGTAAGCTGGAGAAGTAGGCTTTATTCACTACTGAGTAGTACTCCGCTCTCCATGAATATGAAGGAGTTTTCATCAGTGTCTGAAGTGAGTTTCCTTGTAAATTCAAGAGCCAAAAGTGATTTTACATAGATTTCGTCGTACGTTTGTATATGCTTCTGATGCCATTTTGTAAACTTTATTTAGTAAAAAAATCACTTACTTGACAGATAATCATAAGTAAACAACAAAATGTCAGTTTAGTTTTATATATTAAGATCTCTAAAACAGAGAGGTCATTTGTGAGTACCTTTTAGTAGGAAAAAAATCGACAAAAGAAAAATTAAACTAAGAAATTCACATCTTGAAGTGAAAAGTTAAATTAAAATACTAACATTGAATTTTTCTGATATTGAAGATCAAACCTGAAGGAGAAGAATCTATAAATAGAGAAGGGGTTGACATCAAGGTATATTTTCTGCATAATGAACCAGTATGATAACCAATAACAAAGAATGTTTATAGTTTCTTGTAAATAGATAACTGTAGTTTTTCCCTTTCATTGAATTTAAAACTGAGAAATAGGTAGGAAAAGGTAATGTTGAAATGTATACCATGATGTTTTAATCGTCTTGTGTGAATGATTAAATATCCCAACTTTGACATTTCAGGAAGTTTTGTCCAAAAGTAGAGAGAGTGTCAAAACAGTTCTTTGACAATCAATAACGAACAGATCAAGACAACTGTTCCAATCACGAAATATGGAAGACATTACCTATTTGAAAAAAAAAAAAAACTTTCATTGCTACATCAGCTGTTTTTAGCTGCTTCATAATTTCATACCTGTTGTTTCCGATTGCGATATCCTAGTATTAGGGCGCATGCTTCGGGATCGGGAAGTTCAGACTGGACTCTTGTTCCATTCAACGTGTTCATCTTAAAACTTTAAAACACACGTACTGACTGTTCCTTTCCTTCGAAAATTATTAGAAGTGAAAGTCATGGGTCTCTCGAATATGACCTTAAACATAGGCCCAGTGTCATGATAGGCGTTTGGCATGATACATGTAAAGAATCCTCACTGCTCAATGACCCTGAGTGTTGAGTAAAGGTATAGTTCAAAACCCCTTAACCTGTAATTAGTGACGTCTCATATTCGTGAAAGATTTTTGCAAGGACCCTGATCAATTTTCAATCAATCAATAAAAGAATCTTAACTTGTTATGAAGATTTGATGTATCAGATTTCTTGATTTTTTAGAACATTTCTATTTTTATACGCATTCAATAGGATAAATAAAATCATTTCTCTGCGGATTTTTTTTTTTTTTTTTTTTTTTTTTTTTTTTTTTTTTGTAGAAAAGTATTTTCTACCCGATAAATCGGTTAAAATTACGAAATTCGATTTGCTTAATAGAACATTTCTATATTTATATATTCAAATACATATTTGGTGAGAAGAGTTTTCAAAACATTCTGAAAAATACCACACTTAGGGTGTGTGTCTTTATTCTATAAATGAAACGGTAGCTTCTTACAATATTTAAGAACAAGATCTTGAGAAAAATCTGGTTTATCTGAGTGTTATAAGAAAATTATTGCTAAATAGTAGTCAAGCTTATATAGATGTGTCCATAGTCTGTTGTATTGAATCGTATCTATGTAACAGAGAAATGGTTTTACTGATAATTGTTTTTATGCTATTTCATTGTTGTTTTGAAATGATTTGATCCAAATGGTGTGTAAAATTTTATAAACATGTGTCCTCAGAAAATATTTAAAAGCCATGTAAGTAATTTGTTTCAGATGAAAATTTGTTTTTGAGCTGCAAACTCTTCCCTGTACATTGTACTAATACATGTACATGTATATGCAGTTCAAAATCTCTAACCGTCACGGTAGCTCATTTGGTAAGAGCGCTCCGTATCTCGGGCGCGAATGACCTAAGTCGATAAAAAATAGGTAGCAACTTTTCCTTCGCCAAGCGCTCGGCTCTTTGAAGTGAAAGTTGCGGGTCCTTCGGATGAGACCTTAAAAACCGAGGTCCCTTGACAGGGCAGGCGTAGGCACGATAAAGATCCCTCACTGCTCAATGGCCCTGGGTGCCGAGTAAAGGTCTAAATTTGAAGCCCTTCACGGTATATGGTGACGTCTGTATATGAGTGTAGAATTCTGAATGGGACGTAAAACAACAATCAATCAATCTAAATCTCTAAATGAGGTAGTAAAGCAAAGAAACTTTGCCTTTTGCTAGTAAAAACTGAGCTAAAGAACAATATTCTCCTTTCTTACCAGCTGTTAAATTTCTGACTATAGACGTGAGTAAACATATATTTTATGGTGTACTTAAAATCATTTGCAAATCGGTAGATTTTGACTTAAAATAGTTGCTTTGGATTCCAAAATTTGCATTGTTTAATGGACCTTTGAGCTTGAATACTCCTTAACAAAAAAATACTATAGTTAACTATTGTTGACTTTTGTTAACTAAAGTGATAACTTTGACACTATGAAAACTTTGATTTACTATAGTGATAACTTTGACACTTTGATTTACTATAGTGATAACTTTGACACTTTGATTAACTAAAGTGATAGCTATGAAAACTTTGATTTGCTATAGTGATCACTACAAAAACTTTGATTTACCGTAGTGATAACTATGACACTATAGTGAACACTTTGTAAACTTTGATTTACTATAGTTAACTACAAATGTATACTTAACTATAGTAAACTACGCAGTTAACTATAGTTAAATGTAAGATGTATAACTTTATGTTTTCTGTTTACACGTATTTTTTAAATAAATCTATTTGACATACATTGTTTTTTAAGTTCTATTTATCAAAAAAAAGAGTAAAGATTCCCTTAGATTCTATTGAAAAAATATTGTATCCAGTCCTTGTATATATACATGTATAATGCAATAAAATGTGTTCAAATGAAATCATATTTGAAAAAGATGGAGATTAGATGTGAAAGTGGTACGCAAAGTATCTTGGTGCTTATTATGGTTTTTCTTTTATTTTGTTGGACATTAATATTCATAGTAAAAAAGTTGTTCTCTTAATATTTGAAGAAACCGGACAGTGATCGATCTGAATACATATTATGACAGTCAAAACACGGCACAATGATAGGTTGTCTTTGCTAACAAGGTTGTAATAACAACGTCCATCATACAATTTAGAAAATGCTGACCTTAAATTGTTAAATTAAGATTGTTGGAATTTCTATAACATAAACCTATCTATCAGTAGCCTTGGTTTAAAAATTGATAGTAGTCAGAACATGCGCTTGGGTATCGAATACGTTGGGAGACATAAACACTATAAGCAGGTGGAATATTACTACATATATCTCAAGTAAAGTAACTATTGTTAACTGAAAAAAACGTCGTCGATACATCTGAATGTCGAGTTGAAGTTCATAGCAAATGTTTTCTTTTTTCATGTTGAAGTGTTTGATAAGTGTTTCATAACTGCTTCAAAGGAATATAAAAGTAGGTAGACTAATAAAGGAGCACAATAAGTGTCTATTGGAATTCCAACAGATTGTCAGAAGACCTGGTCTTCAAAGACTATACAGATATTGTCAATGAAGAAACCCAAGCATCCTTAACTCTCGACTTACGGAACCTGTCTCCTTGCAGTACAGGAACAGCGCGCTAGACCGCTCGGTCATCTAGACAAGTCAAAAAAATGCTTTCAATGATGCCGATTTAAAAGTGAATTTCTTCGTGCTTTCTATAGTAATATTTCTTCATTCAGGGTACCGGTAGTTATGTTGGTTAAAGAGTTGTTGTAAAATGTGCTTTAAATACAATATATATACATATATATATATATAGAGAGAGAGAGAGAGAGAGAGAGAGAGAGAGAGAGAGAGAGAGAGAGAGAGAGCAGTGAAAAGTGAACTTACCGTTATATATCACTTCCTAATTTGTTTTGTTCAGCTTGAATTTAAACCGCCACCGTATTAATGTTTTCTTACATACTTTAAAGGAAATAATGCAAATTTTTGACGTTTTTGGAAGTGAAGTTGGAAGGTATTTGCTGACCTGATAGCACTGTTTCTTAATAAACTTAATTATCAACGAAAATTTCATTAAATACCCAAAAGGGCTTCTTGGCTATGCCTATTTATCTCTTTCTTATTCTCTCTATCGTTCTTTTTTTCATAATGGCTTATAACAATCTTAGTATTCATTTTTTTTTATATTTTGCGTCTACTTTACTAAATCTCTGACCCTTATAAAACCGACCCCTCTTCCTTAACAATGGAAGGCGGAATGAGGTAAATTTGTGCAACATAAGGGTGTTCACATAAGACGTCTAACTCAGTTACCACTATTTATGAAGGTCTGACCTAATACGTTTCACCCAAGCATATTTTATGAAATGTGTATCTACTATACAACCATTACCTTATCTATATATTGCATTCAAATATACAACATACGGCAAATCTTGAGGGGTTTATTTTTATTTTTTTTAAATTTTAATCTTTATTTTTTATTTTTTTTATTTTTTTTTTTTGTCCACAGTAGTGCATTTTGATGCAATCTTACTCGCCATCAGAGGAAGTCACAGGGAAGTGAGATAAGAATTTCTTTCAAGTATATACTTGACCTCAAAATACATCTTTTGACAATTCTTAAATGTATGAAGGGCTTCAAACTTAGACCTATAATAGGCACTCGGGCCCATTTAGGGGTGAGGGTTCTTTTTGTGCATTAATAATCAATGTGCCCTTTTACAAGACAAAATGTAATGACAACGCAAAATATGATACACTGAGCTTATCATATTTTGTCATATTACATTTTGCGTCAAGATAAATGCAGAATGTAATAACTCAAATTTATGTCATTACATACTTTTTTAATAATTGTACTTTTTGTCGAGGTAAAATGTAAAAACACTCTCTATAGATTTAATATTGAAATGAAGATGTCATTGGAGACTATTTTAAATCATATTTCCTGAGGTTTTAAAATTCTCAGTACTATCGGTATTTAAAAAATATAAACACATATATGTTCACAATTTGTGTTCCTAACACTCTGTGTCAAAATTTACACTTAGTTCCTTAATGCCCATTGAAAAAAAGAGCTCGTGTTACTAGATTTAAAAACTTATTTTTTCCTAATTTAGATAAATTATTTCCTGGTTTGCAACACTTCGAGGAATTAGCAATTACATATAACAGAAACGATCTAACATATAATACGAAGATAAAAAAAAATCCTATTCGACCTTAAATAGTTTAGGTAAAAGAACGATGATTCAAGTCTAGAAAACTTCCAAAAGTTCGAAAATATGGTTAACATTTTATGAAGCGTACAAGAATTATGGGATTTTCTTTCAATAAACTTTCCCTCAGAATCAAGGTAACGCGCATACCGACAGGAAATTTAAGAATACATTAGAAAAAGAAATCAAATTTGCATAAAAAAAATAATTCATTGCAATATTTGTTCCATTTTCTCAGAAAAATTCATTCTTTTATGGAAATAAATTTACAAGCAATAATTATATCCTGCGTTATTACATTCTGCGTTTACTTCGACGCAAAATATAATAGTGCGAAATGAAATAATCAAAAGGTCTTAAATGTCAAGGTGAAGACAACGTACCGCTAAATCTTGCGTTTTTACATTCTGTGTTCTCCGTGATCGGAAGGTCGTGAGTTCGAATCTCAGCCGCGACTGACCTAAGTTGATAAAAAATAGGTAGCAATTTTTCCTTCGCCATGCGCTCGGCACTTTGAAGTGAAAGTTGCTGGTCCTTCGGATGAGACCTTAAAAACCGAGGCCCCGTGTCACAGTAGGCGTTGGCACGGTAAAGATCCCCCACTGCTCAATGGTCCTAAGTGCCGATTAAGGTCAAAATTTAAAGCCCTTCATCGGTATATGGTAATGTCTCTATATGAGTGAAAATTTCTCGAATGGGACGTAAAACAACCTACATATATAAACATTCTGCGTTGATCTAGAGGCAAAATATAATAACGAAAATATAATGATCTCAGTTTATTACATTTTAGTCGTTATTTTATTTGCGTTGTGGGATAGAATTTCAAACTTTTCTCTTGATTTTCTATTCAAATAATGGCGAGTTAATTTGAACTTGAATCCACTTCACGGACACTTCACGGAAGGATGTATTCTAAAAATAGCCCGATGTTTTAAAGGCAGAGCAGAAAAGTGGAAATTTACCAAGCGTTTGATTCTGGGCAGTTGGAATAGGTCTACAAAGCAGTGATATGAGTTCTTTATTCTATTATAAGCATTAAACGTAAATTTACAAAACCCGCACCCTCCAACACATTCATTTTTTTTAATTTACTTTCTGTCAATATGAGAGAGAGAGATGATGTTTATGGCAAAGTATTAAGCTTGGAAAGTTTTACTGCAATCTGAGGAATAGCTTTTGGAATATTAAGGAACTTAGGAATGTAATATTATACATGTTCTGCTTTAGTAAACAACAACTTTAAGTGCGGAGAATTATAAAAACATATCAAGATGAACTCTAAGTGCATAATATTATTATTGTTAAGACGTAGAAAAAACAGGAATTCATTTTGTCCAAGTTACTTCCTGCTTGAGGAGCTGTTCAACACCAGAGCATGTTAGAAATCAAGCACAGGATTTTATTTATTTTCATAGGTATGCATTTTTATTAACTTTGTTATTTAATTTTTCTTTCTTCCTTCTCTCTCTCTCTGTAAGATGGTTTACGTTTATTGACAGGCTTAATTTTTTCCGTTTCCGAAATATTCGGCTCATGGAATACATGTTCAGAACATGGACTTTCGTATATGTTTGAAGAACAATCATGTAACTGGTTGGAGGCTGATAAGCAATGTGAAGAGGCAGGGGGAATTTTAGTGACTGATATACATGACTGTATACTTAGTGAGTAATAACCAATTAAACATAATTTGCTTGTAGCGAAAAAAGTCAACTTAATGAATGGAGAGTGTTCTTTCTTTGTAGAAAAGCTTACTCAAGAAGTTAGGTATTTCATTGGAGGTAATAAATCCTCCTCTGGAATATGGACATGGATAGATGGTTCTCCAATTAACCAGACTCACTGGTTTCCAGGTTATATATATATTTTTTATTTTAGTTCTTTTATGACTATGCTTATAATCTTCATATGTTTTTTAATAAAGGATTTACGTATACACATATTTGTACAAAACTTAAGACAGATTCAACTATGGATTAAATTTTTAAGCTAATGAATTTTCTGATAAACTTTATTTTACCTACATCCTTAAAAAATTTCTGTTAATAGGATGAGATGCCTTTATAATAATCGATACCGAAATTCTCTCACCTTACATTTATACTCTGTAGAAAATATTTTTTTTTTACTTGAATTCTTGTGATGGTTTATTTTATCTCGTGTTTTACTGACGTAAACATAGAATAGAGAAAAGTTAAACAGAGATTGTTAACTTTCCTCTTTTCCTTTGTTAAATAAGGAAACAAGATTTGAAATAAATTAACAAACTTATATGATATATATAAATCACTGTCTGTGTTTATTTGTTGGTATGAGGAATATATAGTAACAACTTGTGATATAAAATTTGCCTATGATATATTGTAACGGTGTGGTAGTGTGTGATTAACAGCTTCCTACTGGCTTCGGTAAATGGGTTAACCCTTTAGCTCAATCGGTTGCCAGAGGCCCTGGGTTCAATCCCAAGCGGAGGCACTTACATGTCTCTGTTACATTTGGCACCCAACGTGGGGCCCGGGTGTTCTCTGTCGAGTGAAAATGATTGCCTCTAGAACATCCCCCCAGGCGCTAGCACTCCAAAAGAGATGAGGACATTTTATTCTCTGGAGAGGGACAATATGGTAGTGTTAGATTAAGGCTTCCTACTACATGTAGCTTCGGATAGTGGGTTAACCTTTTAGCTCCATTGGTGGAGTACTAGACTGGCAAGACAGAGGCCCCGGATTCAATCACAAGCGGAGGCACTACATGTCTCTGTTACATTTAACCTACATACGTTAGTGATCAACACTGTGAGCTGGATCTTTTCATTGTGACTTCTGTGTGCATTTACTCTGTAATGATCCAATCGAAATTATTTTACCAGTGGTTGGTAAGACAATCTACCATACACCACTAGTTTATTTAACCAGTAGTTAAGATTATTTGTATTATTACATGTATCTGCTGTATATAGACATGTATTAGAAATAAGTATATTGAAAACAAAACATGTTTGCCCTGTCCTTATTGTATTGGTAACTAATATATATTTTCATTTTGAAATTCTTTAAAAAATAAGCTTCTTTTACTAACACCCTTGCACTGCACTACGTGATTTATTATCTTTGAAAAATTGTTGACTGGACTGAACAGATGTTGACAGAGCTGTGGCAGATGTACATACAAATTACAGGTTATGTCCAAGGTCCTACCCCATGCCCTTCTTAGTTACACATACATTATAAGGACACAAATGTAAATGATAGGTCACACACACACAAATGTACGTATTCTGATCAAGTGAAATATTAGTAGGTGTGTGACAACAGTAAGGGAAGCTATAGAATAAATGTCCGTCTGTCTGTCGTCGTTAATATTTGCAGTGGATATCAAAGTTTACTAAAAATTTTGTGCATTGTTTTCGGTAGAGATTGAGTATTCCCTCACCTGCTCACTATAAAGAAACTATATTTGAATAAGACTGTCAAAGTTTAATATTTCATCTGCTCTAATTTCATTTTCATTTGATTCATTGTATTTAATATTACACCGCCGTGTTTCAGTTCGTCTAATGACACTTATCTACCAAGAAGGGTATTAATTGGCTTGAGGTGACTCAGGTAAATCTGCGTGGTCGGATTAGAGGAAATAATTTCGGTTAATTATGAGTAGTTGGGACCAATTTGACCAATCGAATAAAGAAAAGACAGTATCCGGACTACACGGAATTTTTTTTTATAACACATTTGTTAAAGCTATATATGGCGTATCTGAGCTAAAAAATAAAAAATAAAAATACGAGATTGAGTGTAGATGAACATGATATTTGTTATTTACGTTCAAATTAAAATTTTCACCGATTTTGAACTTGAATAACCCGACGTTTCTATAATAATTAATTTAAACTGTGTCTGATATTTTAATGCGGGGTCGGTAATTAAATCGGTTATTGTTTTAAATTTCTAATATCTATAAAACGCGATTGATTTAAATTGTGTAATTTACAGGAAAGTCCTATCTTTATATAAAGTAATAAAACAAATAGAAAGATCTTTCTAATTTAAGTTAGTCTGAACTTATCAAAAATACGCCATATATGAGTTTAAAGAAGTGCATGGGACTAAAATTTATAGCCGAAATGGCCAAAGAACTTCGATCCAACAGGCGCTCGCTCGCCAAAAGAGATGAGGACATCTCATTCTCTGGAGGGGGACAATATGGTAGTGTGTGATTAAAAGCTTCCTACTAGCTTGGGCTGGTTGGTTAACCCTTTAGCTCAATAGGTAGAACACTGGATTTGCAAGCCAGAGGCTCAATCCCAAGCGGAGGTTTTTATATATCTCTGTTACACTAGAATCTAAATATGAAACAGATAAAGCAGACCCTGTGGTGTCTTTTATTTCGAGGTCATTGGGATTTGTCGAGTCAAAGTTTGAACTAAAATAACTATTGTTAATTGATAACACGTCGTCGATATATCTGAATGTCGGATGTCAAAAGCCACGGCGAGTGCTTTTATTCTTCTCATATAGAAGTTTATGAATAGATTTTGCTTCGAATTCATATGAATATAAAACAGGTTACCTAATAAGGGAGCACAATTAGTGTCCCAGGAATCCCAACAGTTTGTTGGCAAACCTGAGGTGGCAGGGGATAGTTTTGTACTAAAGACCCGGTCAAATTTCTTGAAAAACTGAGATATCCCCTGTTTGATGTGATATTTTATGTAGAAAAATGATTAGAATAATTATGGGACACATTTGCAGCTTATGACGCTTATCTTATAGAGAGTTGTAAATACGAAACTAAGACACGTGGTCAGTTGCAGAGGAAATTCAGCTGAAAAGCAGTAGGCCTTAGAAGAAGGTGTGTATCTCAGAGGGAAGGTGAATGGCCCCATATCAATTGGTGAATTTTCATTAGGGCATGCATTGATTTACAGACTACTGGGTGTTCTATCCTGCTCGCTCGGGCCTGGGGGATGGGTTGTATGGGTGCGACTGAGGCCCAAATCTTGGAAAAACAAGCCAAAATTTGGGGAGCCCCCAGGTGCATTTTTGGTATATGTGCACTCTAATAGGTAGATTACATGTAATTTGTTGACATAATTTGTGAGCCATGGGCATATGAAGTGTAATTAATTAGCCCCTGGAAAACTGTCCCCATGTACATGTTTTTATGGATCGTATGTATATGTGTACCCCCTCGGCACATGTTTGGCATTAAAAAAAACTATCCTCTGCCACCTGAAGCTCTTTTCACAAAAAAAAAAAAAAAATCGTACGATTAATTTTCATCGTAAAAGATATCTTACACAAAGATATCTTTCACAAAAATTCTTTCGAGTTTCTTAAGTGTAAAATTTGTCGGAACTTTACGATAGCTCTTACCCTCTCGTAAGAATCTTAGAACCGAATTTGATTTAAAGATTTAACAGATAAAACCAAATAAACATTTGATAGAACGTTTTTACGCATCCTGTACATGTAATAGTATTTAAATATATATTATTTCACAATTATATTGTTTAAAAAATAAATGAAATATAAAACAAAATATTTACGATGGCAGTTTCACTTTTAGATTTTCTTATGGCCTATTGTGATGTCAAACTTCCTTTCTTCACAATCGATATATATTTATAATTGTTAATAATGTTTGTTTCGCTGACATGTGTTGAATGTGTTATTTATATTTTCATCCACTTTTTAAAAGGATTATAAAGCATATTGAGATTGTTTCTAGAGACAGTAACTATAAGTAATTTTCTTGGTAAACAATCACAGGACATAAAAATTTCGGAGTTTTTTAAGCATATGTCTATGATATGAAAAAGCTTAACTATAATATATCGCAAGGAACTGATGTTTAAATTGTTGAAAAGTCGTATGTTTCGATGCACTGACTTTAGGGGAAAAAATGATTTAAATTTTCTAAAAGTTGTTTAGAGACTTTGAGAATTAATATCTGATTCACACCACTTCTAGAACATGCTGTAGCTCAATACGTCTAATACTTAGGTCACAAGTCAATGGTCGGGCGACCAAATTTTTCTCACATCGTTGGCTGAAAAACATGATCGACCGACATTAATATAGGGCGACGGGGAGCAGTCACATTAATTCCTTGAAACACCGATGAGTTTAAAAGTTTAAGTATTTATAAGTCGGCCAACCATCGCCCAATCATCGAGCGCTGAGCAGCAGTTTGATTTTCATCGTCGGCAGACATTTACAAAAAAACCAAAACCTAAATGTCGACCGATCGACAACCGACTTAACAAACTGTCTGCGGATGGTCGAATGATGATCGTTGGTCGATCGACATACTATTTAATGACTGCTTCAATTGATGAAATCGGCCACCGACGCAGAAAAAATTACAACTGCGCCCGACAGACAAAAAATTGGTCGGCCGACAAAAAAGAGGTCAAACTGGGAAAGACAACATTCGATGAACTGCCGACTGTCGTCCGAAGAATCCCATTTTTGCCTAAAAATCTGTCGGGCGTTTGTCGTTTTTAGAAATATGCCTGGGGTTTAAAGGTTCTCTTTAACAACAGTTAACATTTTGTAATGAGTTAAGATAGTGACTAGGTAGAACTTTTGCTGGACCAGGTGTAAAGACGAAAATGACCCCGTAGAACAATGACAGTGGGTCATTTTCCGACGTCGAAAAATGACCCCCGGTCATTATTCAACGTCAAATTATGACCCCCGGTCATTATTCGACGTCAAAACATGACCCTTTTGCCTGTAGAAAAAGTGGCATCACCCTTAAAATCTGCATACATACATGAAGAAAAAATGACCCCCGGTAGATTTTATTTTTTAACATTTTCTTTGTCACAGTTTCACGCGTCATTTTATGTACCATTAGACAATATCTGGTGCTATTTATCTCACGTAAAACAATATTTTAGGAAAAAGTCATTTATCTGTAAAATGTAGTGATTATTGTGCAGAAACGACATAGAAAATGCACTGTTGCATTGAAAGATATTTTCAATTGTATTTTTTATGTAAGCAAGTTTTTCTCCTCAAAAGAAAGTGGACCTACAATTGTTTTTTTAATAATAATTAAAAATCTAGATCTTTTACTGTCATTTTTGTTCGTTATATCCATCTGATAAAATAACCTGGTCTTTTTTTTTTTTGCAGGCGAGCCTAATAACTCTGGAGAAAAAGAGTTTTGTTTACAAATGTGGTTGGAAAGTGATACCGTTTACTGGAACGACATCTCTTGTGATAGCAAAATTTCTGGAGGATATGTTTGTCAGAGTAAGTACCGGTGAATCTTTATGCCTTCCATATGCTCAGAATGAAAATTTTTAAACATATTGTTTCCCGCAGCTTTGTTATTTTTCAGCCAAAATACAAAACTAAGAATGAATGTAGTTGTAAATATGTCATTTATTAATGACACAAAGGTAAGACATGAAAATTGGGAGATCCTATGTTTTTCTACAATTTGTATATACACCAGGATTTGGATCTCCCAAAACTTAAAGGTACAGCCTGATAGTAATCAAAAATACAATTTTATCAAACACTTATGGTGAAAAATAAGGTGGCAGCCAACAATAAGCGAACCAAAATCCCAAGTTTTATCAAACACTTTTGTTGAGAAATAAGATGGTAATAAACAATCAAGATTATTTGATTTTATATCAAATGGTTAATTTTTAATTTTGGACAGCATGTGCATTAAGAGTAAAAGTAGGTACAAATTGACTATTACTGTGCACCAAAAGTTATATCCCTTTTCAATAGGCCAACAAACAAATTGATAATAACATTATATAAAGAATTAACTACGGTTGAATAGGATGGTGGTGGGCATGTTTTCCTGTACAAATTTCAGCGTGCACAGACACTTGCAGCTTGAACATCTAACATTGATACTGATCACATGATCACATTGTAACTATTAGCTAAACACCGCAAGGTCCCTAAAACCTGAGACTATTCATTATATAGCATGCAAGTAGTTTACGAAGCCTAAGTTAACACATTACATAATATACAGATAGCTAAATTCTTAACACAAAATTGCTTAGATACATATGAATGCATAAAACATATTATTTCCAATAATATTACAATATTCTAGTACCTAAACAAATGAAAAATCAATATCGTGAAAATATTATATTTGATACGTCAAAACTTATGTTTGAAAATGATTTTTAACAAGTTTCATTCTTTGAATGAAGACAACAGGATATATAAAACACTTAAAATGTTGGAGGACACATTAGTTTTTATTCAATCATAGAACACGGGATTTCCCGTATAACATCAATAAAACAATTATGCTCCCTTTGTGTATATTGCATATTCCCTTTTGGTTATCTTACACAAAATAACAAGTCAAGGCAAAAGTTAGAATTAAGACAATAGTTATGTAGCTTTTATTTGTTTCTTTCAAATTTATAAGTAATCTAAAAAAAACAATACATTTAAGCAATATATAATGATATTTATACAGTATCAATATTATAGGACGTAAAAGATGCAAAGAATGTTATCATTAAAAAACTTAGAATTCTATTAGAATGTTTTAGGTAGATTTTGAAATTGCTATTAATTAAGGAGGTTGGATCCTGCCATGAAAAGTAATGAGAATTTTTTATCAAGTATATTTTTAGAATTTAAACACATAGCTTAATTAAAAATCAAAACAAAAAATGGGGGTCAATGCGCTTCTTTTGGCGCTACAGAGCATTTAGTTTGACCTTTTTGCACTGTAAATACGTCTTACACATAAATCAATTTTTAAAGTTTTTCCTCCAATATTTTTTATTCGAATAAATTATGGGAACAAACACAGTCTTATTTCATCTTGAATAGACACATTAAAATTTGTGACAACAAAAAGATTTTTCAAATTACTCCGCATGTTCAATTATTTGACCTTTTGCACTCAAAAAATTTCAATTTTCTGGCATTAAAATTTAACAAGCAAAAAAAGTAATGACATTTTGCTGAATTTAAGAAGAATGGTTAAAAGTATCTTATATATTCAGAAAATAAAATAAAAAGTGGGGGTCTGTGATGTTAATTTTTAGATATTACTAAAATAGTGCTAATTTTAAGCTTAAAATAGGGATTTTTTTCTTAATTTTCACAATATATTTGCTATATCTATGAAATAAGATGATAGAATTCATGACAGTTTATTTGATATATAATTTAGGACCAGTATAAAACAGTTCACTGCACAAAATAACTCTGTGTGCAGGCTGCAAGGAAAAATAAGAATCCAAACTAAACATACTTTAAATACTTCGAAAGAGAAAAAATGATAATTTTCTTCTAAAAAACCTTCCGCCACAAAATATAGTTTCTTACTTAATTCTTTTGGTATGGAATTTAATCATGGAGTTTTAACTGAATATAGTTTAATTGACATTGTAGAATCCAAATTTATTGTAAGAATTAACACTTTATGCAGAATTTTTGAGATATAGGTTAAGATATAAATCTGCTCAAAAGCTCAGGAGCGAACCTCGTTAATTACGAAATGTGATGTTATCAATGTCCTTTGTTGACAGAGACATCAGTCATCACAGAAACAACGTCACCAAGAAAAAGCGAGCAACCAACAACACTACCAACCGAAGAGACATCTGTAAAATATAATGGTAATGACAATTCCCCTATTTTTTCATGTATTATATAAGTGGTACTTACTAGACGTGATTGCTCGGTAAAGTTCCACTGTAGTCAATTACTCAAATACCTGATCACTTGATAAAGATAGCATAGCTATTACCTATCAATCTCTCACCAGAGGGCGTATTACGCTGCGCTACAATTGAGTATAAGTGGAGCATAGCGGGAACGATAACTCTGGGTAGAGATTGATTACCTGTAAGAAATGTGAAGATAAGGAACAATAATCATGCTCAAAGTCCAATCAAACAATACAAATAAAGAGCGGAGAAAACATATCTATTTCCTTGAATAAAATAACTTTGTGTTTTTCCTGATAGCAAAGAAATTGAAGATGTACATTCTCATATAAAATAAGCAAATTTTTGAATTCGTGTTTTCTTGAATAGGTACAACTACTTCACATTGTGATGACTTACCTCACCATGAACTGCATGTGGATTGTGTTTCAAATATTGAGAACATTAATGGAAAGGTATATAATATATACTTCTGTACACAGTGTTCCATTGTAGTTTGTTTTAGAGAAAAAGCAAGTTAACATGATATAGCTAGCAAGAGAAAAAACTTTAATACATGAAATATGAAGATAATGAAGAGTTATCAATCACAAAAGTTCATTTAAACAATACAAACGTGTATCTTGAAAAGTTGCATATATCTTGAAAATTTTCCATCCAGGTTGACTCAGTCCTTAGAGGAAACTCATCAAAGAAAGAAATAGAGCTGGTGATTCACAATGCACTACACAAATTACAAGAAATTTCAATCAACCATGAGCAAACTCAGTATGATATGGAAAGTTCCATAAACTTATTAGACAAAATTCTGGATGCCTACATCGAGTTGAATGTTTCACTTCCAAGTACAGTATGTTCAATTTGCTTATTTAAATATGCTTATCTCATCACATTATTCATCTTTTAAAGTCCTCTATGATTGTATTGTTCATTTAGGTGATTGTGACAACACTTGACAACTTACTAGCTGAAAACTTAACAGCTGCATGGAAAAAAACTTCCACAAAACAGGTATTATTCGATTTTGTGAATAAAAAAAAACCTAAAAATTTCAGTAAATAATGTTTTCTTTAGTTCATATACATGTACATATTCGTTTCACAGGCCAATTCAAGAGTCAATAAAATCTTCAGAATGGTAGACAAATTTGGCCTACATGTCTTACAGACCATCAAGGAGAACGACAGCATCACATATAACTCAACAAAGAATATGGGTAATAAACATTAGTAAAACTAGCAGGATTCACTTTTACTTTACATGTATATAAATAGTGTTTTCGTCTTTTATCATCTTTAGCATTGACACAAGGCTTCATTTGAAAAATGAAGATCGAAAATATTTTTGATCTTACAGTGTTTACGGTGGCAAAGATTCCAGCAGATCAAAATGTAATTTTTCCGGAAAATGAAAACATCTTAGGTTCATCGCTAGTGCTTCCAGTGCAGGGTCATGGTTCTAATCAAAGTAATATATCAGTGCTTTTATCAATCTTTATCACTCCATCCAATTTTTTTTTTTGCTGTTCTTTTAATCAAGGGTAACACATCTACTGCTTTAAATAATAGATATACCGTACCTTGCGGTGAAATACAAAACACTGGGAGCCTTCATTAAAAACAAAAATAGGTAGGAATATCCTAATAGTTCTACATATTTTTCAAATTATAACTTGTGCTTTGATAACGATTGATTTTTAAGGAATAAATTATCTTTCCTTTTTCAGAAGTAAAGAAAATGCAGGATACAGAATTTCGTCTGATATATTGTCATTAACACTTAATGACCCTTTACTAGAAGGAGCATTAGACCCTTCATTGCATTTAAAATTCCTCAAACAGGAAGTAAACTAACTCTTATTATGCAATTTTAGATAAAACAAAAAGACAGATTTCAAATAGTAATAATATCTCAACATTTGTTTTTCCTTTTTTCCTTTAGAATTTCAACAATTCTATCAGCGAATGTGCATTTTGGGATTTTGATCACAAGTTGGTATTGCTTTGTAGAGGAAAAATATGATTTAAAAAAAAAAAGACATTAATTTGCATTTTTAAAAGATTAAAATACATCGACAGTAATACACGAATAAAGCAAAATGTACCTGGTTTACATAAGTACCATGACTATTACAGTAACGGAGATGGTGGTTGGTCGACGAGAGGATGTAAATTACAATCTGCAAATGGTCGTTATTTTCACTGTGAATGCAACCACTTGACAAATTTTGCAGTGCTGGTGCGACCATATTCAAAGGTGGTCATTGATTTGTCTTCGGCATTTTATGATTGAAATAATTTATATAATTAGATAATTCAAATAATTAAAGAAAATATTGATTTAAATAATTTAGAAATGTTAATGAATAAAAAAAAGTTTTCTCAATGCATTAATATACATTGAGTTGGATATACCAAACTCTTTAGACTCTAGACGAAGAAGAGGCATTGAGTTGGATATCTATAATTGGTTGCTCGATATCAGTGTTTTTGTCATTGCTAACGGCCATTGTTTACATCGTTTTTTGGAAGTAAGAAATAATGAAAAATAATCTAAAATTACTTTCTGTGTTTCTCAGTTCTTTAATCATGCTACAGAGTTAAACCGGATTTTCTTACTCCCTACCTTGCAGATCTATCACTTGTGATGTCAGCAGAATGGTAAATAAGATCACTGTGCTTCTTTGTCTCAGTATTGCCATGGCTTACACAATATTTCTACTAGGAGTTGATAAGATCCGGTATAAAGTAAGTGTTTAAGATTATGTTTTAATCGATGCTTTATGTATTCGTATTATATTCATTTTGTGTTTATATATTGACTTACTCTCAGAAATGGCAATTTGATAAGCAATTAACCAATAAACTATTCAGACACGAACCTATTTGTTGATAAACCAAGGTGCAGGACCAAATTAAAATTCATACAAAAAACGTTAATTTGGCTGGGCTATTGTATGATTTTGCCTGGATCCAAAATATTCATATTTGCAATAGTACGAGAGTAATTCTAGAAATGTATTTAAATGTCTGGGTCAATTTAGAATTTCTCTCTAGAAGATCATTACACATGGGTTATATTTAAAATGTTTTAAGTGAAATATGGAGATAACGAAAATTAAACAAATTCAAAAGTCCCTTGAATGACAAGGTAAAGATAACGAACAGTGATCAATGTAATAAAATTCTATAATCAATACAAATTTGTGAAGAGGAGATAAAACACGGACTCCTGGAAATTCCAGAGGTGGTATCAGGTGCCGAAGAGGAGTAAGCATCTCCCGTTGATCGGTTACACCCGCCTTGAGCCCTATGTATAGATCAGGTAGACGGAACATTCTGAAGTCAAATTCATTATAAAAACAAAGGTCCAACAATTGATATGAAACACGTCAGCCAACATACATTCCAATGAAAGATTATATTTGCTTACAAGGTTATTATTACGACCATAGAATATACGAAATGCTGACTTTAAACGAGGTTTTTGAAATCCTGTAACATCAACTTATCTGTCAGTAGCCTGCCTTGGTTTAAAAATTGATCGTACTCAGTATGCTCCTGAGTATCGATTAAGATGGGATATGTAAACACCATATGCATGTAATAGTGGGATATTACTACAAAAGTAATAATGTTGACGATAGAAAAGCTGAAGTCATTTCGTTTGTCATACAATTTAGTTGTTAGTTTGCCTTTGTCGTCTATAGTCAGTAAAACTTCCAAATATGAAACAGATGTTGTAGATTCTGTGGAGTCTTTTATCTCAAGTTCACTGAGATATAACGAGTCACATATGAATGGCATTGACTTGTTAATTGATAATAATATTAGTCGTTGATATATCTTAATGTCGAGTTGAAAGCCATAGCAAGTATTTTTTTTCTCGTGTCAACGTTTTTGATTAAATTCTGCTTCACGGGAATAAAAAACAGATCTGCTAATAAAGGAGCACAATTATTGCCCATCGAAATTCCAAAAGTTTGTTGGAAGACCTGCTGTCTGAAAACTACATAAATGTTGTCAATGAGGAATCCAACATCCTTTTAATTTCAACTTCAGAGCACTTGTGTTTAGAATCAGGCTGATTTTGAACAAGACACGAAAATTTTCGAGTTCTATTTTTATTGAAGAAGCAGTTGTCTATAATATCAAAAAGTGTTAAATTATCGTGAGGAATGGTTGGAGAAAGCATAGAAAAGTCGTACTGATTTTTGAAAATTTGGGGATTTTATATTTTCTAAAAGTTCTTTTGAGTTTTTAAGAATCCACATCTGATTTATACCACTTCTAGAGTATGCTGTAGCACAGTACATCTGAAGTTTCTCCTTTACAGCAGTCAATATTTTTGTAAGGAGTAAAGATAGGGGCTTGATAGAGCATTTGCTGGACCCTGCAATGCATCTGTTTGTTAAGACTTTTATGAAGTTAAGGAATCCAGTATAGGTAGTGTAGATGGAACTCATCTTTGTTGACTGGAATCTTAAAAGTATTAAACACTGACATTTGATTTTGAAGAATTTCGTCTTCAGAAAGTAAATTGGAAGCATAAGTTGGATTTTCAGACGTGGAATTAAAGCCAAGTTCTTCTAAAATACAGTTATGATAATGGGCCTTACAAACAAAGATGAAATTGTTACAAGCCTTGTCAGGTGGAACTTTAACATATTGTTCATGTAGTCTTTTTAATTCATTTATCACCTGCGGTTTATTGAAAACGGAAGAATACGTTGTTCCCATATTGCCTTTTAAATTTCTTATACGACTATTTAATATATTTCTAAAACACTTAATCAATTCTGAACAAGTGTTCAGATCTTCCTCTTCATATTTATCCCACCGTCTGGCATAATCTTCAACAGAATTCAACAACACAAATCTGGAGCAGAACAAACTATGGCATCCAAGATTAAGCATTGTATATTGTTATACGCTGAATTTTTCATTATATTTTTGGCTCAATCTGTCATTTCATTAAGAGGATCATTACACGAAATTTATGCTTGCATCTTAAAAGCATCTTTGCTTTTATCTTAAATTGTTTGGGAATGATATGGCAACAAAGATTAAGATTTGTTTATTTTGGTCAGATTTTTTTGTCATAGGCTATTATAATTTCAAGATTCTAGCCTCTGATTGGTTAATATCAAAAAAGGAACACAGATTATTTCTGTATAACCTGGTTTGGTATGGGGACACACACCCCTGACAAACAGCTGAATCATCTGTATGCATACAATCCTCTCATTTCCAGTCCTCGGGATTCATGGAAAATTCCAGATTTAATAAATATACCTTTAACTTCAAACAATAATTCGATCTTACCACATGTAAACAAGCTGCTAGGCCTATGTATCAGTTTTTACCTCCCCTCGCTTCCCATCACTTCCCGTACTTCCGTTACTACGGTTGTATTATTGAGCGGCAAATTTGAACTAATAAAAAGCAACGAAATTTTACACCCATAGCTATTTAATGATTTTAAAATTAAATTATAAGGAATGACTCTAATTCTTGGCCAAATTATTCGAGTATAACCTGGTTTGGGTCAGTTTACGCTGTTTTATAATCCGCGAAATTCCTAAATTATATTTAAGCATTGCTTTTATCGTCGGCAACGTCGTTTTTGATTTCATTAGAAACAGGGAAAGCATGCCAAAGCAAAGTCGTGAAGACTTTTGGTTTACATTTCAGGTCGGGTGTATTGTGATTACAGCGTTTTTACAGTATCTGTTCCTGTTCGTTTTCTTCCTCATGCTGGCCCTTGGATTGTACTATTTCAGTAGCATCTCATTGATCAAAATATCATTTTCTAAAGCAACGGCATTTCAAAGTAAATCCAGTTTCTTCAGTAAAATCATTTGGGGAGTTGTAGCTGGTGAGTAAAACATTCACTTTCAGCAAAATGAAAACCAAATTTAAAAAGACATTGATTGTGACGATATTCGAATTTGTAAATATAAGAATATGAATACGAATAACTTTATATTTTTAGTTATGCCAGCGTGTATAACCGCAGTTACATTTGGAGTTATTTTTTTCCTGGACAAAGACTACAATTCAAAAAACAGGTCTAAATGATCATTTAAGTGTTGTTGTACTTAACATATTAAAAAGCGAATTCCTTGTTTTATGAAACAGTCGTTGTAAGTTTTATATTACAGTTGCTGGTTATCATTTGAAAGTGGGGCTTTGTATGGCTTCGTTGGACCTGTAGCTTGCATCGTTCTGGTAGAAATTTGTCATTTCATATATTTTTTTAATCTAAATCTAACTAATAAGGATATAATAAAAGTGGTTAGGTATTAAAAGCTATCATTTCGGCAGTCAAAAGCTATGGTTATTATATGTATTTACAGTTATTTGGATTTATATTGTAATCATAAATATATTCTCAAAAGAAAAAGTCTATGATACTATTCACACTTGATAAAGCAATTTCTCGGTATTATATTTTAACTTTTGTAGATCAATATTGTTATTGTTATAGTCCTCTCAGTGACACTATGTTCAATAGGATTCTCACCACAAGACAAAGGGAGGAAAAAAATATTGTAAGTCAATTTATGCATTGTTCACTCGGAGAGTTTAATTCGCAGTAATTTAATGTGATGTAAACTAATACGAATTAAAATGCGTTCTCACGATAAACTAATGCGAATTAAATTTTTTTTTCTACAGTAGGGCTATTCAGTAAGACTATCATGACGTCATTTGCAAATCACGTCACTTATGCAGGGCATATCCATCTGACATAATGTCATAGTGTCTGTACACATTTTAGTGATAAACAAAAAGTACAAGTACCTATATCTGACCACCGACATGTGGCATGTGACTTATTTCTGCCATTACGCATGCGTTAGAATTTAATTCGAATTAGCTTCATTAGGAGTTAATGCGAAGTAATTAAATGCTCAGTGAACTAATTCGAATTAAACTCAATCGCATTAAATTCTCCGTGTGAACGCGTTTCAAATTTAATTCGCAGTAACTTACGAGGGGTTATCAAAAAGTTCGTGGACTGACGCGATAAAATTAATAATATGTAGTCTTTGCTTACAAAATTTATGCGGAACATAAAACAACAAAAGTTTAAGAAATGTTGAAAATTTTAGCTTGATAAGTTGATAATTTGCCAAATTATTCTAAAATTAAAAAGACTTTATGTGATCACCCGGCGCTGTCGCCGTTTAGTGTCATGACGTCCGCTTAACGTCATTGTTTCTTAATGTCCGCTCTCTCTACCTCATACACTTATCTTGATGAGATTACCTGGAGTTAAGTTAGGACTTAAACCCGTCTTATTTATATGAATTTACAATGTCATGAGCAGCTGTTTTCAATGCATATAATATTGTTAATGGATCTTTATATGGGGAAAGATCCTCACTTGATTATGCCAGAATACTTAGCTTGTTGGAGTTCAATTTCTACCACACATGATCAACGTCACTTTTCGACGTGACTGACTTTTGACACCCTGACTACAAATCGACACTAGCTGTGCATATTTCATCTCTCTGAATCTTTTTAGGCATTAAAAAACAAGTACTCTGGATGCATTTTATTTTTCTGTAGCCAGTTTAAACATTCCTTAGGTCAATACCAGTTTTTCCAGGACCGAAACTCTATAGAGTGTTTGAAAAAGAAACCCCTCCCCCCTTTTGACGTTATTTTCAAGCCCATACTTGTTTGGACACTCCATATAAAATTTACGATAAAATTTCATAGAAATTACAGAATGGGGTAAAAATTCCAAATTTTACTGAACAAATGTGTCATACCACATGCCTGAATTAACGAGATTTTCTGATGACAAATACTCATATCTAAAGAGTTTTTCTCAGTTACACTCAGGTAGGAAAAAACGTCATATTAGAGGTTGCGCCGCCTGGACATACCTTTGCTTACAAAAACACTAACATTTTATTAAAAAAATAAAAATTATGATTTATGGTTTATTCTATAGATAGAAAGGATGATGCTAACTAAATGTGTAAAAATTCATTGATGTACCTAAAGCGGTTTTAATTTTATCACGCTAGTCCACGAACTTTTTGATAACCCCTCGTACGTTTAATTCGAATTAAACTCTCCGTGTGAACAGGACACTAGATACTAATCCAAATGTTTGAAATCATTTAAGCTTAAACTGGGTCAAAAGTGTAAAAGAAAAAAAGCTGGTAATGCAGTATATGTTTGAAATCAAAGCATGAAAAATGCTTTTCAATACTGAAATGCCATATTTCATTGAATAGCTTCCTTAGATTGACTTCTTATTTAAATGATAAATAAAATGCAAATTTAAGTATTAGGGATTGTTTCAGGGCCGGAATAAGGTCCATCTGTACCCTTTTACCTGTTCTTGGAGTGACCTGGTTGTTTGGTCTACTGTCCATTAATGATGATGTGGTCGTGTTTCAGTATATATTCTCTCTGTTGAACTCCTTCCAGGTATAAAGTTAATTTTTATTATTGGTGGATAAAATTATTAACACTGCGCGGAATATCTAAGACATCATTTTTTGATACGCTTATATCTTTTCAAGGGGCTTTTCATTTTCATCTCCAAATGTCTTCTAAGCAAAAAGGTAAGGGCAAAGATATGCAGATGTTTGTTTGTTTTTGTTTGTTTTTTTAAATATTCCTATATCACAAGGAAATTAATATTTTTTTAATTGACTTTAAAGATTAAAAAAGTGTAATCAATTCTGATAAAAGATCTACTTGAATCTGCTTTGAGTTTTTTTTTTATTCTGGCTGATTGTAATTGCTTGATAAGCAACAATAAATGTCATGCTACAGATCAGGAGGTCGCTTAGTAAGTGCATACACAAAAAAGGTTCAGAAAATTGGAGAAGTAGGCTTTATTCATTACTTAGCAACAATATGTTGTCCATGAACACAAAGGAGTTCTCATCGGTGTCTAAAGTAAGTTTTCTTGTACATTTAAGAACCAAATTATGTCATTTTGTTATATATTTTTCGTTTAAAATCACATGTTTTACGCATACTGATAAGCAAACAAAATATTTTCATCCATAAATAAAAATATTCTACCAATGTAATACAATTGGAATAATTGAAAATTGCTACTTTTCGTTTGTGGTTTCTATTTAGAACCCCGAAATAGGTAAATTCTTTGTATGTACCTTTTAGTTGGAATAAGATTGAGAAAATGTAAAACAAAGAAACTATTGAATTGATAAAATGAAAATAAAATTTAACTAACATTAAATGTTATTGTTATTGAAGATCCAACCTGAAGGAGAAGAATGTACTAGCAAACTTAGAAAAGGGAATCTCATTAAGGTATTATTTCTACATCATAAATCATTACAATATTTAATACTTATATAATTATAAATGATGATCAATTTAAGAGAATGGCAGTTTATTTTTTTTTTTATTAGACAATTGTTTTTGTTTGTTTGTTTGTTTTGTTTTGTTTTCATTGATTGATTGTTTTTTGCATTGAGAAATGGATAACAAAAACCAAAGTTGAAATAATAAAGTAGTTAATTTAGGTCTTTATATATGAACGATAATATATATGTCCCAAATCTGACATTTCAGGGTATTTCGTTCAAGGGTAGAGAGAGTGTCAATACATCTCTTTGACAATACAGAACAGATCAAAAGAACCTAAAATCATGAACTATAATATATAGATTACTACATCATCTCTATTACAGACTTCATACTTTGTTAATACATAACTGTTGAAACCATTCAAGGTAGCGTAGTAATAGCCCCCTCGCTTCGTGGTCCAAAGATCTGGTTCGATTCTCGTTTGCCATGCAGCATCAAATCTAAGACGATTAGCACTCAGCTAGACTGTTTTAGTGCTCTCTTTCATACTTTTTGATAATGTCAAACATAGATCTATGTTTGATAACATTTAACTATGAGGGAGAGCAGAGGACAACAAGACAAAAATGAACAAAGAATTATTTAATTTTAAAAAAAACATAGAGACTTGAGCAAGTCTAGCACTCAGCATTAGAAGCGCAATTTATGTCTTTTTGATTAAACCTTTAAAACATAGATTCTCTGTCATAGCGGGTGTTGGCATGAAAAAGAACCTTATTGCTTAAAGGCCCTGAGTGCCGAGTAAAGATGTAACTTGAAGCTATTTTTTGGTAATTGTTGACACCTCATATGAGAAAAAACATCGAGGGGATGCAAAACACTCAATCATAACTGTTTTTATGCAGTTTTGATGTTTGAAATTTCAAAATTCATGATTGTTTAAAAGAAACATTTTTAAATTGTATACGCCTCCATTAAGATTAAATAAGTATACTTCCTGCACACTTAAATTGCTGCAAAGGTAATTTCTAATGATTCATCTGCTGAAATTACAATGATTGAATATCAAAAATTGTAATTGCTTACATGTAACTGGAATATCTTTAAGTATTTTTAAGTATTTTCAAATGCATTTTTGTTTTTAAAGTGTTTCAAGGAATTTCATGAAATTCTAAAAATTGAAAATGTCGCGTATGTCTAAATCCAAATCAATATAGCTTGAGGTTCTTTAAGCATTTGAGAACACAGTCTTGGAAACAATATTGTTATTGCGTATTAACAAGAAAATTGTTGTTAGAGCAGCAGCTAGGGTAACTAGCATATGGCTCTGTCCATAGCCCACTGTCTTGAATCGTATCTAGGTATTTGAAAAATCGAATATTAATCTTTGTTTATTTTATTTCTATTTAAATTGTGCTAATTGAAATGATATGTAAAATGTAATGGAGCTTTGACCTCAGGAAATGTTGACAAACTGTAAAAGTTTTCATTTTACAACAATTGTTTTTGAGCAACCAACTCTTCTGTGTACTTTATGTGTGCGTGTGTTTAAAATTTCTTTAAATATTATACACTGAAATGTGATATGCATTTTATGCAATCTTTATATAGCGCATGCATAAACTCTTCATGAATAAACGAATCAAATCCTCAATGTTTTCAATCAATGATTTTGAAGAATTTAATATGCTGCTTTGCTGTTTCTTAAAACTTGTACCTCAGTAATGCATCTATTGTTGTAGATAAAAGCACCAACTTGAGTGAAATTCACACACAGTTTCTAAAAAATTGATGGATTTTTTAAATGAAAGAAATGGATACATTAATGAAGAAAAAGTACAATACTTAGATTTAATGGTGAAATATTATGGGATTATTTATCATATAATTTATGCATTGATATACCCCTAGCCGAATAATCAATCGAAACAAAGTTCTTTCTGGTATAGTGAAATGCTTAATGTACCAAGAGCACTCAGTTGTGTGTTAGGGACTTGATCCTTTCAAAATATACTGAAAAAAATCACAATTGAACTTTCTCAGGATTTTTTGCAAATTTAGTATTGGTAATGCTAGACTTCTTACTGAAGCAGGGAGATTGATTGGTACACCTAGAAAACTAAGATTATGATATCTTTGTAAATGTAAAGAAATTGGTGATGAATTATTCTAAACAGGTCTGAACGATTTCCCAATATGGAAGTCAAGAACAATAACTGAAAGTTGTTATAAACATACATCATGTACAAGTAATTATTTTTCTGTCCAATCAGAGAACAGCGTTTTCACACACCCCAAAACAAATAAAAGAGAACACATGAAATTGCTTTTTTCCTTAAACATCACATTTATAGCTTAAAAACTTATTATTATGTTTATTTTATGCATTTATTCAACAAAAAAAATGTCATCATTGTGTAATATTGTATTCGAGACTCTGGTAGATGTTTGATTCCATTACACATGTGTGTGTCTTCGAAAACATTTTAAATGCATAAAATGTATAACTCTAAATTTTCAATATATCTTTAATCAATTTGTTTGACAATCATTAAGGTCTTCCGTTTTCACGGAAGACCTTATAGTGATTCTACTGTTTCTTCTTCTTATCATTATTATCATTTTTCCGCCCATCTAATTTTGTGCACGCGATTTCTCAAAGACTACTTGATGGAATTTAATGAAATTTGCAGGAAAAATGTTTTGTAATCTGAAATTATTTTATCCGAGAGATTTTTTGGAAAATCACTTCCGGTGCCAAGTTACAGACCATTTTCTGAATTTAAAAAGACATTTTGTCCGCAGATAATCTCAAGGACGGTAAAAGATATCAATGTGAAACTTTCAGGGATTATGGATCGATCGGGATAAATCCTAGCCGGGACATGACGTTTCGTTCGTTCGGTACTTCCGGTCGTTACCGGGTGCGAATTTAAAAAAATAAATTTTCTAACTTTTTTGTTTTTCAATATTTTTCTTTGATATTAGTAGGGTTAATAGAGACATTTCCAAGAAGGTTTAATATATAATATGTTTAAAAATTGATAAATCCAAACTCTAGATATTCGCATTTTAATATTTGAAGCGGGTCCAAAATGGCGGCTGTCTCCGTAAACTCCGACGAGCAGGTCGGCACTCGGAGCTCCTCGGGTGGCTGGTACCTCGCACACTAACCTACAACGTCAACGATGTTCTATTATTTCGGGTTTAATCCCGATTATGTCTGAATTTTCTTTCTCATTTTTTACTTTTAATGTACGTTTTCATCTTTATAAATGATGTTTTTTCTATGTTAATCCTGCGCTATTTTCATTTGTTTGAAATAAATCCTTAAAAATCCTTGCATTTTTGGAGGACCCATGTTATATTTTACGGACATTGGCAAGTCAAAGTTTTCCTGAGAAAAAAAGGTAAAATATATAGGTTTTTTTCACTTATGAAATAGTGATTGAGAGTGATCTCCCGTGTAGAATTCTCTAAGCAGTGAAAACCAATAAGGCATATGTTTACAGAGGTAAACAAAAAGCACGTGTGCTTCCTTCAAAGGGTAGAATCATCTATTCAGCAAGAAAGAAAAGTAGTAATGGCTTTGTTGTACATTGTATTCGGGAGACAAAGAGCCAACAGGTCGTCATTTACCATAGTTATCCTCAGTATGCTGGGAAAGGCAAAGATGTGACATATGCTGAAACTAAACCTACTGAGATCAGTTTCTAGCTATAGGTTGTATGAAGGAAGCAGCATTTAGTAACTACGAATAAAAATTGAAATAAATCCATGCCAATATTTTTATGACAATATGTTTCAATCAATTTAGTCAATTACATGATAGAATCAATCAACCAGTCTGACTCTCTTGACCCTTATGAATAATATGTAATTATAGCTGTTAAGGGAAGTAACTCAAAAATAGAGATCGGTGCCGGTATGTCCTTGTCTTGTTTCTATATTTACATTTTCAGCTAAAATATCTAGAAGTCATAGGAAATGAAAATACAATAATGTATCTAAAACAAAAACCATATGAAATAAGTGAGTTTTGGAGAAATATTATGGTGAAAAATTATGTAGGTCTCTTTTATCAACATTTTACATAGGAAATGCATTGAGAATTGCAAGAACACTGATTTGATAAACTCTAAAAAAAAAAAAAAAGAAAAAAGAAAAAAAAAAAAAGGTTGGCTTGGTAGGTTAAACAATCAAGAATATAGCCTGTTTATTACAATTAAAACTACTCGAGAGTTCTTGAAAAATTCTATACGAGAAGTTGTCTGAGCAAGAACTCGAAAACGGTAAGAGATTAAGACACCAAACTTATATGAGCAACAGTCCTTAAGATGTAGGCAAAACCATTTTGGTTCAGAGCGTCAGCCGTCACTTCCAGTCGTCACAGGAAGTGATAAAAGAAATCAAAAATTTCAACTTTTCTTTTTTTAATTGGAAATTGCATCACTTTATTGCATCTTTTTCGTAGATTCGAAAGATGTTGGTCCCACCGGAAACAAATACGACAACTTCCGATTATAAGAGAAAAACTAAATAATTTGAGTATTTTACTTTCCCATAAATATTCTTTATAGATAAAGTGTTTGAAATGAATTTTAAATATGTAATTCAGAGTGCAACTGTCAAGAGTAACCTTGAAAACGTCAACATCCGGTTTAAGGAGATAGCACGTTGGATTTTCACGCTGACGACCAGGGTTAAATTTCCAGAGTGTCTGAATTTCTTTTATCACTTTTTCAGCTTGAATTTTCGTTTTAATTTTCAGAATCGGATGGAAAACCTCTCATTGCTCGCAATGAGTTTCTAGTTATTATGGCTGTTTCTATTACAATATCGGCCGCGACAGACCTAAGTCGATAAAAAATAGGTAGCAACTGTTCCTTCGCCATGCGCTCGGCACTTTGGAGTGAAAGTTGCGGGTCTTTCGGATGAGACCTTAAAAACCGAGGCCCCGTGTCACGGCAGGCGTTGGCACGATAAAGATCCCTCACTGCTCAATGGCCCTGAGTGCCGAGTAAAGGTCAAAATTTGAAGCCCTTCACCGGTATATGGTGACGTCTCTATATGAGTGAAAAATTCTCGAATGGGACGTAAAACAATATACAATCAATCAATCAATCTATTACAATATTCACTTCAATTCCGTTAAAAGAAGTTGTTTCCATTCCTCAGGTATATAAAATACAAATAAATATTTGTTCTAATCAAAATCCATTTGAAAATGAATGGAATTGTGACATGAGGGCGGTACGTTTATATATATATGTTGAGTCCTTTTATGCGTGAAATTCCCTGGTAAAAGAAAGTCATTTCCTCCAAATCTATGAGGAAATTAATGCAAATATTTGAACTTGTATTAAACATTTGATTGTTATTGTCAATAAATGACTACAGATGCTCATCAAAAAACGAGTTAAAAATTGTGCTTGAACAGTCCAAAAATTGATTACTTAAGGCTTAATGTCAATACTCTAGCCTTAGTAACAATTACCTCTCTCTCCTCTCTCTCTCTTTGACACACACACAAAGCTCAGGTAATTAGATTAAATTACACTTTCCTATAGCTATGTCTAAAGAAATGTAACCATAGTTATAAATACGTTTCAAGATGCCCTATTAACACTTTACTCTTTTTTATTCTTCTTAGAAATCCATTACTTTTTTATATAAATCCTGTATAAATCATTGAACCATAATTTAACTGCTTGTGCAGTGAATTGACGAACTACAGTCTACCTAGCTTTTCCAGAGAATATAGGGGAATTTGATGCATTAGTCAATATATTGCATTTACTGGATCTAAATGACAGTTTCAATGGTACCATGAGTCAGATTTTCTAATCTTATGATTTATTTTTTTTTTAATTCTACAAAAGGGCGAGGTCCTTAATTTTAATTTGAATCAGCTTCACTTAAGATTATTTGGTATGGGATTTCCCGATGGGTCTGAATTAAAAACAGGAAGCATAAAAGTTTACAAACGATGGGCAAATGACTAAAGATCACAGATGGATGAGTGGAATAAGTCGAATAGAAAATTTTGTGTTGTCATGGTGAGTAATAATACAGAAAGCAAAGGTTGAGTAAGAACTTTATTCAGTTATTTGCATTCAGGGTAAAATAAAAGAACCTTAAACTAATTGCATTTCTTTAAAAGAAAGTTTTATTTCCCGTTTTATATACTTTAAAGGTCAAATGGGTATAAAACCATGATCTTTGAAAAGATCCAATGCTTTGACATTATAAGTGCAAATTTGAGAGGAGAAAATGCTGAATATTCATGGGAATAGTAAAAGTGAAAACGGAACAATGCATGTACTTCTCCGTGTAAATATAAATGCGGAAGATATAACGCATGCATTGTGGTATAAACTTAGTACTTATAAATCTTTTTGTTTAGGCGTAAAAAGATAGCGAGATAAGTTCGTGTTTAAGGAGCTCTTCAACACTTAAGATTATGTTGAAAAGTATAACACACGATGTTCGTCATTTTATTAGGTATGTATTTTAATCATCATTTATGCTTCAAATCTCTATTTTTCCCCTTATCTCTCGCTTTCTATTAATTAAAGTTTATTATCAGGCATAATATTTTCCGTTCCCCAAATATTCTGTTTATGGAAGACTTGTCAAGAAAGTGGAGAGGTATATCTGTTTAAAGAGCAAAAATACAGCTGGCTTCAGGCAGTTAAAGATTGTGAAAATGACGGTGGAACTTTAGCGAGTGTACGGTCAGAGTCGGATGACAATTGTATTCTCTGTGAGTAGAATTAAAATTTTGTTAATGAAAAAAAATATTCTATAGGACATTTTTGTAGGAGAAAAAACAACAAGATAATGAATGAAAAGCATTCTTTTCATTGCAGCGAACCTGAATCCAAGTGTTGGTTCATACTTCATTGGGGGAAAGAAATCTTCGTCTGGACGTTGGACGTGGCTAGATGGTACTCCAATTACCAATTTACAATTCTGGGCTGAAGGTAACACATTTTGTATTGATATCAATGATTGATCACTGTTCATTATTCCTACCTTTATATATTGAAAAGCCTGTGTATCATTGTTCTAACTGTAAAGCGAAGTAATGGATAGTAAATCAGATAAATAGATATGAAGATTTTTTTTTCATTTCCGTATTTTTTGTAAACAAAGTAGGAAACATGATGTAAAATACACGTGTTGTTTTCTTTTTTTAATTATTATAAGTTATTTATTCCTGAATCTTGAGTATTCCTGAGTTGTTTTTTTTTTAGTTTGAAGATCGCATATTGATCAATTAAGATATAAAATCGAACAATTAGATGACTTTGTATAAAGCAATAATATTTGTACATCAATTCTATCATTAGCAAACAAAATCTCGTATCATTAATAGACGACACTGCTATTCATAAATGGCATAAGTAAAGTCTTTATATTGTATGATACTTCATATGTTAGTTCATTGTTGATAGAAATAAATCGGTTATGGATTTAAAGTCATCCTTTAGACTCGTATGTCATTTGTAGATTTTATATATATTTGTCGTTTTTATGGAGCATCCAGTTTTGTCTTTCAGATGTTTTATTTAAGGAAAAAATTAAACAGCATCGCAAGTTGTACTGTTTAACCTGGGTTGGGACAGTTAACGTTTTATAAACCACAAAACAGTTTATAAAAACCGTAAACTTGCTTAGCTGTTAGATTTCATCCTAATATTTAATTTTCTTCCGTTAAGCGTAAAACATCACACAAATTTCCCTTCAAACAGGCCTTCTAAACCTAAAAGTCAAGCGTATTGATACGTTTTTGACGTAAATGATTGTGACATAGGTAACATAGGTCATACAATATAAACATATTTTTAATCCGATCAAATTGCAATGTTACAGTTAGAATTTTTTTTTTATATTTAATTAAATAAAAGAAATGAACAGTCGTTAGTTACACATTCAATCATTTAATACTTCTTTTGTTGCTTGTTCTTTCCTTACATTTCTATTTTGGTATATTCTATACTGTGATCATGTTTTTTAATGTATATTTTCATTATTTTATTTGATATATTTAAGCGCTAACGTAAACACTTTCTTTTTCTGCAGGCGAGCCAAATAACGCAGAAGGAAATGAAAATTGCTTACAATATAAGTTGTTTGGTGCCTTCGCTTATTATTGGAACGACGTCGCTTGTGAAATGACTGCTGGTTATATTTGTCAGTGTGGGTATTTTTAACTTTATACAAATGATTCTTTTCCACGCTAAACCAAATTGAAATGTCTTTATTCAAGTTCTTGAAACAAACAAGTTGATGAAACAAGAATATCAACAGTCTCGTTTTAAGTTATCATTTCGTAAGTTCTATGGTCGATACAATGACCTTGTCAGCAAATACAATCTTTCATTAAGTCAAATGCTGATTGACTTTTTTCATACAAATTGTTAGGGCATTATTTACCCACTGAATTGTCGACGGTTTTTTCCGTTATTTCACGATCATGACAAGGAGCACACGGTGGGGTCCGTTTTTGTTCTGCTCCTATTTTGTAATGTTTAATGGACTTTTGAGCTCGAATACTCTTCATTATCTCCACATATTTCATTCACTAGTTCCATATGGTTGATTGACCAAAGGATAATCTTGAATCACTGAAAAAATTTACATATTAGAATAGCAAAATATGTCCGTATGATTTTTTATGAATCACTTTCTTGTTAATTGAATTATTTGAATAAAAAATTTTAATCGTAAGTTTTCTCTAACAATGAATTGGTCATTATTCTGTAGTTTTCAGGAAATTTTGTAGATTTCTGATCATATGTTATTATTCTTGCAAATTATAACCGATCACGGTAGCTCAGTTAGAAGAGCTATCGCTCCGTGATCGGGAGGTCGTGAGTTCGAATCTCGGCTGACCCAAGTCGATAAAAAATGGGTAGCAACTGTTACTTCGACATGCACTCAGCACTTTGAAGTAAAATTTACAGATCCTTCGGATGAGACCTTAAAAACCGAGGCCCCGTGTCGTGGCGGGCGTTGGCACGATGGGAATCCCTCACTGCTCAGTGGCCCTGGGTGCCGAGTAGGGGTCAAAATTTGAGGCTCTTCACCTGATATGGTGACGTCTCTATATGAGTGAAAAATTCTCGAATGGGACTTTAAACAACATACAACCAATCAATCAATCTTGCAAATTATAATTGCTCAAACACGTGAATACTCCATTAAAGTTTTCACCATTGCTTTTCTGTCTGCAAAATTTGTAGAAAGGCGTAAAAACACTACGATGAACATTTTAAAAAAGATAAGGATAAGGAAAGTGTTTTAAATAGTACCATAACTTGTTTTAATTGCAAGCATTTTTGTCAATCTTTAAGTGTTTTGGAACTATCGTCATTATATCTCAAAAACTTCATTTTTACGTACAATTTTGGAGGAAACGTGACAACGGTCGAAAGAAAAAAAATTAAAGTTAAAAAGTTAAGAATTTAAGTTGCAGGAACATCAAATAACATATGTTTATGCGAGAGAAATTTTGAATCAGAACAGGCCACACTACATCGTAAATACAGTGAATCTTTTGTATAATTAAATATTTGAAGGATAATACAGATGTGTATTGTGTTCTATTTTTAGAATCATGTTACTGTAGATTAATGATATTACATCAAAAAAGATTTTGTCTTATATGTATTCTACCTTGTTTTGATGTAGCTGAATTTTGGATATGTTAACGTTGTAAGAATACATAAACTAAAACAAAAGGTTTCCTTTTCTTATCAATGATTGGTTAATCAATATGATTTGAAGAGAACCTTTGACTTAATTTTTCAGTAAAATCTTCAACCACAGAATCAATGTTATCAGACTTACCTAAGCAAACAACACTTTATGAAGAATCATCTGTGAAACCATACGGTAATGATAGCTAATAATAACAAAGAGTTTTATTGTGAATGTGATTTGATCTTTTGCACAGACATTTGGATGATCTGTACCCCTTATAATTTATCAGTATTTGTTCCAATCAATAGACTCATTTCTTTAAAATTATAGCAAATCTACTTGGATTCTACAGCACACAAAAGATTTTTTGAACTCGATAAAAATATTTCTCTCTCTGAACTCGCCTCAACGGACTTACTCGTTTTTATTGTTGAGGATAGATTTTATCTTGAAATAGTACAAAAATATTTTTTCCCGGCCTTGATCGACAAACATGGTATAATACGCACGTTCCCTTTGTACTGCAAATAATGTGCGCACATACTCGTACAACCTTTCAACTTTTCGGCTACACAATTTATGGTAACTTTCTTTTTGCATCTGATAACTTTTTTCATTGACCTTCAGCAGTTCAGTATCACTTACAATACAAGTTATTCCTGTTATTGGGTGTCGTACATGTATTTATTGTGTTTTATTAGTTTGTTCTAAAACAATGCATCGTCGCCTTCGTGAAGTAACTGACCTCATAATCAAATGTATACAAAACAAGCGCTCGAATCGTCGAAATTGTGTACAGAAATTGATGACAAAAGTAAACCCCCGACCTACCTTTAATATTCCAAATTTTTCGTGTGACGTCACAGTTGTTTTCTCGTACTCAGAAAATGTAAATATGAAGCACTTTTTTCACGCCTTATCTTGTTTAACGATGTCCTGTGTGATATTGAGGTAAATTTATCCTTTTGATATTGCTACAATTATTAGATGAAGTATATACTCCAGTTCAGTCGTAAATTTTAAAATACATGTATTTTATCTGCAGAACTTTTTCTCAAATGAGTTTCTTTGTCGATAAAGCTGTCTTGAAAAATGTGTAATTAATATTATTCATATAGGATGAAATATAAAAAAAAATGCTTCAACACTTTAATTTTTTTATTCTTAAAAATTTCAGAAGATACATGTCCTAATTCATATTTTTAATAATGTTTAAAAATTACCACTATAGATAAATAATAATAAACGAATAATCCGTAAAGACGAAAAATCAAATCTTCGTGAAGACAGTGAACGGAGCAATATTTTCCCAGCGATATCTCATAAATGAGTCAAAAAATCTGATGAAAGAACTACTTTAAGATATGTATGAAATCCAGTATTAGTATAATGCAAATTTATGAAAAAAAAGTGATTGATTAGAATTTTTAAGCTCTAGGTCATGTTCCTCCTCAAAGAGAATTGGGAGAAAAGTCTTTTGTGTATACCTTTGTAAGGATTTTTTTTTAAAAAAGAAATACCCTATCTTATTATTTTGATAAAGGCAACAACAAATAAGCATAAAAAATTAATTATTTGACAGACAAACTGATAAAAGCAGTTTCATTGTCAATATACTGCATATCATCAATTAATCAATGATTCATGTACATGTATCCGGATGATAAGATATGGACTTTGTTTCGTCATAGCACAATTGCATTTTTGCGTGAGGCAAATGTCAACAGAAAACCGCTATCTATAGGAACAAGTAAAAAGATCCGCCGTTATTGTAACATGAAAAAGACCGCTGCGCTGACATCCTACGACAAAGGTCCCACTTTCAAAAGAACAAACATTATATTCGTTGTTTTGCTGCGTAATTGTATTAAGTGTGTTCAAATTTGAATGCCTGAATTTTCTGGGGCTTTTTTCAATTATATGAAATGTCATGGCCCAATGCTTTATTTTAACGTCACTCGTTACAGAGTCTGTGTCATCAACAACAGGTGATAAGTCAACAAGTGATAAGTCAACAACCAGTGATAAGTCAACAACAAATGATAAGTCAACAACAAGTGATAAGTCAACAACAAGTGATAGGTCAACAACAAGTGATAAGTCAACAACAAGTGATAGGTCAACAACAAGTGATAGGTCAACAACAAGTGATAAGTCAACAACAAGCGATGAGTCAACAACATCCCCAAAAGAGACATCCGTCAATGGTAATCGCAACAATGTCATTTTCCTTGTATTGTACAGTCATTTCTTCTTGACATGAATGGAGCGCAGTTATTGATCAATAGATTCCTATTATACAGAAAATAGATAAAATGAATGTTATGCATGTTCAGTTTCTGGCTTTATTCCGAAAAATATTGTCCATCGTTATTTTCTTGTGACGGTAATTATGTACTGTATAGGGGGGATAACTCGCGGTGTAAATATTTGCTATATTCACGGTGTTAATAAATCCGTGAATTCAAGTAAAAGTGAATAAGTTTATATTTTCATTTTATTTATTTATTTATTTTATTTTATTTGAAATCTTAACATAGGCTACGATAGGTTTATTTATGTACAGTAGTCATTCAGTAATTACGAATGGTGCTTGTCATCAATTATTTTAATTATTACGCTTAACTATTTGATCAATCAAAACACGTGGGTCGTGGGGTTTGATTTCCCATGTGTTACTAACATTACCGTGCGCATTAATTTTTTTTTTCGACATCTGGGTTTAAAAAATATTTATTCAAATAACTTTCGGACATACTGTATACATGGAAGTATATTATTTCCTCGACGTACATTAACACAATTATTATCGCCCGGTGGTTTTCGCTGCGATGTGTTTTTCCGTCGGAAAGAAAATCTTGGGGTGTCCCAAAAGAGACATCCGTCAATGGTAATGGCACCAATGTCATTTTCCTTGTATTGTACAGTCATTTCTTCTTGACATGAACAGAGTGCATTTGTTGATCAATAGATTCCTATTACACAGAAAATAGATAAAATGAATGTTACGCATATTCGGTTTCTTGCATTATTCCGTATAGGGGGGGAAATAACTTCCGATGTATTCACGGTGTTAATAAATCCGTGAATTCAAGTAACAGTGAATAAGTTTTTAATATTTTTTTTGGAAATCTTAGTATAGGTTACGATAGGTATATTTATGTACAATATTCATTAAGTAATTACGAATGGTATTTGTCATCAATTATTTTCATTATTACGCTTTATTTAAATTAAATCAGCCGATAATGACCCTTACTTATTGTTTAATAGCTGTTTTAATAGCCAACGCTACATGTTTGATCAATCAAAACACGTGGGTCAAGGGGTTTCATTACCCGTGTGTAACTAATATTACCGCGCGCATTAGTTTTTTTCCGACATCTGGGTTTAAAAAAAAATATTTATTCGAATAACTTTCGGACATACTGTAGATATGGAAGTAAATTATTTCCTCGACGTACATTAACACAGTTATTATCGCCAAGTGGTTTTCGCTGCGATGTGTTTTTCCGTCGGAAGGAAAATCTTGGGGTGTACATGCTCTCATTGCAGTATCATACAGGAAAGTCATTTGACGTTTATAATCAAAGACGTTTAACTCCAATTAATTGTATATTAATTATAAACCCAATCTAACCACTTTACTAGTATTTAAACCTCCCTGAGTATTGTTTATGAAGTGAATACATAATGATGATAAATGTCTTCCCTGCTATACTGGATACAGAGAAGGGAGGTAACTTTTATTTTATACAAATTCCGCGAATTCATCAAACCGCCATCGAGGAGAGAAAAACTTGAAAATTACAACCCGTGAAATTAATCCCCTATACAGTATTTACTTGATGTCTCCTTTTCTAGGTACAACAACTCCATTTTGTGTCGACAGGAATCAGCAAGAACAGCATGTGGATTGTTTGTTTAATATTAATGATATCAAAGAAATGGTATGTATTAACATGTTATTAATAGCTAGCAAAAGTAACACAAATCTTATTGAAGGTAATTTTTTTTAACAAGGTTGATACAGTTCTTAGTGGAGACTTATCGCAAACAGAAAAAGATATAAGGATTGACGAGGCACTGTTTAAATTACAATACAATTCGTTCAATAAAGAACAAACTCCAGAAGATTTGGATACCGCTATAGATTTTGTAGATAAAATCCTGGATGCTTGTAAGAGGTGGAATATTTCACTTCCAAGGACGGTATGTTCATTTTATTTATAAATATCTGATCTAGTCACTCAATTATCTTATAAATTACTCAATGTTTATATATTGTCATTTAGGTGATTGTGACAATAATTGACAACCTCCTAGCTGAAAACCACACAACTGCATGGAAGAACATTTCTACGAAACAGGTTACCATTCCTTTGTGTGGTTAATATAAATTGAGGATTTTTCTTATTTCATTTAACATTGTTTTCTTTGATTTGAAGATTCAATAGACTGATATTTATTACACAGCTGAGTGCAAGAGTCAATAAGATCTTCAGAATGGTAGACAAATTTGGCTTACTTGTCTTAGAGACCATCAACGAGAACGAAAGTATCACTTTTAACTCAACCAAAAATATGGGTACTAAACATCAGTAAAACTTACAGCATTAAATTTTATATGATTAAAATTTTTAATTGTCTTTAAAAATCTTAATTTCAGAGATGAAAATGTTTTTTATTCTTACAGTTTTAACTATTGCAAAAAGTCCTGCGGATCAAAATGTTATTTTCCCAGAAAACAACACCAGCTTAGGTTCATCGTTAATGTTTCCAGTACAGACTCATGATTCTAATCAGAGTAATATCAGCACTTTTATATATCTGTATTTTTTTCTTCCAATTTAAAGATGCGACAATAACAAAATCAAAAGGTAACATATTTACTTTTTTCAAATAGATTTACCGTATCTTGCTGTGAATTACAAAACTCTAGGAAACCTTATAAACAACATGATGAGGTAAAAATTCTACATTAATTGACAATCTTTCAATAAAAAATTGCCTTCCGATTAAACGATTCCTTGTTATTGATTTGGGTCTCTATCCTTTTTTGCAGAAAAGCTGAAAATACAGAATACAGCATTTCTTCGGATATAATATCATTCACACTTAATTCCAATTTACTTGGAGGGAGATTAGACCCTTCGCTGCATTTAAAGTTTTTAAAACAGGAAGTAAGTCTAACTTATCATGCATTTTGAGTTTAAAAAATTATTGTGGTCTTAGTAAAAATGTTTCATTTTGTCATTTTTCATTCTAGGATTTCAGCAATTCCATCAGAGAATGTGTATTTTGGGATTATGACCAAAAGTTAGTATTGAACGATTTTAAAAAAATGCCCACTGTTTTTTTTTCAAATATCAAAAGATATTCATTTCCATACACAAATATTCATATTTGACAATGTTCCTGGTAAACATAAATACCATTTCTTTTACAGTGACGGAGATAAGGATTGGTCAACAAATGGATGTGAATTTCAATCTACAGATAATCTTTATCTTCACTGTGAATGCAACCATTTGACAAATTTTGCAGTGCTGGTGCGACCATATTCAAGGGTAATAATGAAGATATCTTTGGCATATCAAAAACAATACTTCTTAAAACAACAACAATTTACTCGATTTTTCCTTATATATGCAATATCAGTGTAAATAATCTTGCTCTTAAAATAATTATTGATCTAGATATTCACTCTTTTGTTGAAATAGATTCAAGACGAAGAAGAGGCATTGAGTTGGATATCTATAATTGGATGCTCGATATCAGTGTTCTTGTCTTTGCTAACGGCCATTGTTTACATCGTTTTTTGGAAGTAAGAAGAATATAATATAATCTAAATTACTTTCTGTGTTTCTCAGTTCTTTAATCATGCTACAGAGTTAAACCGGATTTTCTTACTCCCTACCTTGCAGATCTATCACTTGTGATGTCAGCAGAATGGTAAATAAGATCACTGTGCTTCTTTGTCTCAGTATTGCAATGGCTTACACATTATTTCTACTAGGAGTTGATAAGATCCAGTATAAAGTAAGAGTTTAAGATTTTTTTGTCAATTATTTATGCATTCATATTTATTTCATGATGAAATTTACCTACTCCTGGATATATAAATTATGATTTGTTTGTTAACATTGACACAACTCCAGATTATGAATCCCAAGAGCATAAACTCGGCACAGTTATTTTTAGAATTACTGGTACCTTGATCCAAATCAATCATTTTCTAAAAGCATACTTACAAATTCTTGAAATTTCATAAATTTTGGGTTCAGCTTGGCAGTTTTAAATTTCTCCAGAAAATTTATACAAAAAATATATATCCTAAAACGTTTTGGAATATTATGGCAACATGATGATATTCATTAAGTTTGCTGTAAGTTGAGAAAATCGTTCATAAACTGTTACAGTTGATTTCATTTGAAAGTGGCATATCATACAAAAGCAAATGTGAAGACTTTTGGTTTATATTTCAGGTCGGGTGTATGGTGATTACAGCGTTGTTACAGTATCTGTTCCTGTTCGCTTTCTTCCTAATGCTAGCCCTTGGATTGTACTATTTCAGTAGCATCTCATTGGTCAAAATATCATTTTCAAAAGCAACAACATTTCAAAGTAAAGCCAGTTTCTTCGGTAAAATCATTTGGGGAATTGTAGGTGGTGAGTAAAAAAAATCACATTCAGGAAAATGAAAATCAAATTAAAATTTTAAATCACATTTTTAAAAGATGTTTTGAGTTTGTAAATATCAGGATTTTTTTAAGTGATGCCAGCGTGTATAACCGCAGTAACATATGGAGTTATTTATGCATTGGACAAGGATTACCATTCAAAGACCAGGTTAAAATGAACATTATATCTTTAAAATGATTATTTTATATCTTTAAGGATGTTTTAATAAACATTATAGAGCACATTCATAGTTTCATCCAACATTTGTACTTAAGTGCGTTTTTACAGTTGCTGGTTATCATTTGAAAGTGGAGCTTTGTATGGCTTCGTTGGACCTGTAGCTTGCATTGTCCTGGTAGAAAATTTTCATTCCGTATATTTTAATGATCTAAATTAAACCGATGATGATATGATAAAAATGATGTGGTATACAAAGCTTAACATTTGACAAAGCTAAGAATAAGGTACTGTACTCTTTGTAGCCATTTGGTGAAGCAAAGCCTGTGGTTTCTAATTGCATTTTTATTTTTTACTTCTTCAGATCAATGTTATTATTGTAATTATCCTCTCAGTGACACTATGTTCAAAAGGATACTCACCACAAGATAAATCGAAGAAAAGGTCATTGTAAGTCAGTTTTGATATTTATCCATATATGTTTAAATTAATCTGAACTGAACGAGGTTAAAAATGAAAATAACGTTTAAAAAACGGCTGGAAAACAGCAGGGAAAGCAGCCGTGCTAAACTGTTCTAAATTAAAGCAAGAAAAAAAATGCATACCAATAAGGATTTGCCAAGTTTCATGAAATTGTTTCAAAAATTAATCTCTTCTTAAGAGTAGACTTACAAATGAATAATTAAATGCAATGCAAACTGCTTGAAATTGTTTCAGGGCCGGAATAAGATCCATCTGTACCCTGTTACCTGTTCTTGGAGTGACCTGGTTGTTTGGTCTATTGTCCATTAATGATGATGTGGTCGTGTTTCAGTATATATTCTCTCTGTTAAACTCTTTTCAGGTATGTAGTTGATTTTTATTATTGGTGAATAGATTCATCATCACTACGCGGATTATCTAACACATCATTATTCAAAAATGGCGACCACGCAGATCCAGGGAAATACAGATCCAAATCCATTCTTCCAACATTATAAAAATTATTTGAAAAACACATAGTCGATCAATTACGTAACTTTACCACTAGCTTTGAAGTTTCAATTAAATCACAATTTGGATTTAGAGAATTTCATTCCTGTCAAACGACACTAACAAAAATAACAGACAATTGGTTACAAGCTATCTGGATCAAGGAAAATCTAGCAGGCATAACTTTCCTTGATTTCAGCAAGGCATTTGATTTGGTTAATCAAGATATCCTTATAAGAAAAATTCAATCATATCATTTTGACCAAATGGCTATCAAATGGTTAAATTCTTATTTAACCTCAAGGTCCCAGTGTGTAAATAATAGGTACATATTCCTCTGAATTCTTGCCCGTCATAGCAGGGGTGCCCCAGGGATCTATCTTGGGCCCCTTATTTTTTTTTATTGTATATAAATGGTCTTCCTTTATATGTGAATAAAACAGATATTGGTAAGTTTGCTGATAATGCAACCTTGCATACATATCATAAAAATGTAAAATGTATCGAGAATGCCCTAAACTTTGATTCGTGTGAGATTGAAAATTGGTGTTCCAAAATCAAATGATGTTGAATACCAATAAGACAAAATATATATTGTGGGAATTCATCAGAGAAAATCTAAGATAAATTCTCCTGAATTAAATCTATATGCTTCAAACAAATGACTTGAAAATGTTGAATCTGAAAAAAGTTTTAAGAGTACATATTGATCATTCATTGCGCTATAATCGCCATATTGACTCAGTTTGTAAATCTTTGACTTACAAATTATATACCTTACGCAGAATTAAAAAAAAAATCTCCCATTACACACTAGAAATCTATTCTATAATGCATACATTCTGCCTTCTTTGAATTATTGTTTAACTTTTTGGGGATATACGCCAGGTGCTGGCATAGATAGATTTTTTAAATTGCAAAAAATGTCAGCCTGGATTTTATTACATGTGGCATATGATGCCCAATCATTACCATTTTTCGAAATTTGGCTGACCATACATGATTTGATTGATTTTCATAAAATGTACTACTTCACGAACACTTCATGGTATAGCACCTGAATATTTAAGAGACTCTTTTGAAATCATTTCTTCTAATACTTATGTTTCACGTTCTGAAACCAACTATGACCTTTGTCTATCAAAATATCGAACAAATAAGTTTAAAAATTTCTTCCATTATTCCGGTGTTCATTTATGGAACAAATTGCCTTGTATGTACGTTTTTCTTGAACTGTATAAACATTTTGTAAACATGTAAAAAATTTATTATTACTTGCCGCAACACTGTTTAAGTAACAATCAATTCTATACATAATTCCATGTCCTAAAATTTTATATGTACTTGTATTTTTATTTTATGTAGTATTATTTCAACTTTTGTACAATGTATTCATTATTGTATTATTTCTTATATGTTCAGAGGGTCCCGAGGAAGACTAGTGCATTGCACTAATCGGGTTGCCCTCTTTAGATAAAGTATTAATAATATTTTTTTTATATTATTATGTACTCTCTTTTCAAGGGGCTTTTCATTTTCATCTCCAAATGTCTTCTGAGCAAAAAGGTAAGTTGACTTAAAAACATAGTGATATTGATGGGGTTTTTTTTCCTTCATGTTCCTTTTTTTAATTTCTATCAAAAATAAGATAAATTACATAAGTCTTTATTGTCTATGAAGACTAAAATATGTATATAATTTAGGTAAAAGACATCTACTTGATTCTGCTTTGAAATTTTATCCATTTTATTTAAGAAGGTTGATTGTAATTCATCAAGTAAAACTATTTTGTCATGCTTCAGATCAGAACGTTACTTAGTGAGAGCATCCAAAGAAATGACTCAGATAATTGGAGAAGTAGGTTTTATTCATTACTAAGCAGCAATCCGCTGTCCATGAACACGAAGGAGTTTTCATCTGTGTCTAGAGTAAGTTACCTTCTACATTCAAAGGTCAAAAATACGATTTAAAATTGAATTCTTCAAACAAATGAATAGTATATTATGCCATTTAATAATACATTTTTATGCCCCCGTAATCGAAAATTCCGTCCGTCCGTCCGTCTAGCTGTCTGTCTGTCTGTCTGTTTGTCCGCAAAAACTTTAACCTTGCCCATAACTTTTGATTGGTTGAAGCTATTGCTTTTATATTTCACATGTGTATTCCTTGTGACAAGATCTTTCTTTGGATACCATACAATTTGACCTTTTGACCTTGACCTTGGAATTTGACCCACTTTTGCAATTTTTTTGAGACTTTAACCTTGGCCATAACTTTTGAATAGTTGATGCTAGGGCTTTCCAGCTTCACATGTGTATACCTTGTGACAAGACCTTCCGTCAGATACCAACAATTATGACCCTTTGACCTTGACCTTGGAGTTTGACCTACTTTTGAAAAAACGTTAATCTTGGCCATAACTTTTGAACGGTTGGTGATAGAGCCATTATACTTTACATGTGTATTCATTGTAACAAGACCTTTCTTCGAATACCAACAATATTGACCCTTTGACCTTGACCTTGGAGGTTGACCTACTTTTGAAAAACTTTAACCTTGGCCATAACTTTTGAACAATTAGTGCTGGGGCTTTCATACTTCACAACTTTATTCCTTGTGACAAGACCTTCTTCCGGATACCAATAACTTTGATCCTTTGACCTTGACCTTGGAGTTTGACTACTTTTGCAAAAGTTTAACCTTGGCCATAACTTTTGAATGGTTGGTACTAGGGCTTTCATACTTCATATATGTAATCCTTGTGACAAAGTCTTCCTTTGGATACCAACAACGTTGACCCTTTGACCTTGACCTTGGAGTTTGACCTACTTTTGCAAACTTTAACATTGGCCATAACTTTTGAACGGTTGGTTCTAGGGCTTTCATGCTTCACATATGTAATTCTTTTCACAAGACCTTCCTTTGGATACCAATAACTTTGATCCTTTGACCTTGGAGTTGACCTACTTTTGGAAAACTTTAACCTTGACAATTACTTTTGAATAGTTGATGCTAGGGCTTTCATACTTCACATATGTAATCCTTGTGACAAGACATAAATTTGCATACCAACAACTTTGACCCTTTGACCTTGGAGTTTTACCGACTTTTGAAAAACTTTAACCTTGGCCATAACTTTTGAACTGTTGTTGCTAGGGCTTTCATATTTCACATGTGTATTTCTTTTGAGAAGGCCTTTCCTTGGGCACCATTAATTTTGACCATTTGAACTTGACCTTGATGTTTGACTTACTTTTGAAAAACTTTAACCTTTTCCATATCTGTTCAATGGTTGCTGCAAGGGTTTTCATATTTCACAGGTATATTCCTCGAGACAAGACCTTATTTTGGGTACCAACATATTTGATTTGCATTTGAGAAAGTTTATCCTCTGTTATGAGTTGCCATACCGGGGCATCAGTGTTTCACAAACACATCTTGTTTAGTTTTAAAAAATCGCATACTTGATATATAATCATAAGCAAACAAATATTTTCATTCAGGTATAAAAATTGTCTAGAGGTGCTCGATCATGCAACTTTACATCTCTAAAACACGGATCCCTTTGGGACCTTTTGGAAGGAATAGGATCGAAAAAATTGTATATCAAACGAAAGAACTTACAATTAATTTCTTTTACTTTGAAGGTCCAACTCGGAGAAGAATCTATAAATAAAGTTAAAGAAGGGAATCTAATCAAGGAATCTAATACACGATGTTTTATTATAAAATAAGGCCATTCCAAGTTTTTTCTATGTTTAGCGTCCGCGTGCGCCTTGGTTTTTGACACCCCATATCAGAAAAAACGAACAAAAACAGGAGTCCTGAAATTGTTTATTCTGGTCGAAATCACTGAATTCTGTCAATTAATCTAAGTATTTGTCTACAATATGTCATATTTGGAATATTGTAAGCATTTAATACCTTGATTTTGCTGAAGAATAGATATTTCTATAGAATAGATATAGAAAAATAGATTAATGGAATCAAATCCTTTGGATGACATCATTTTTATGACTATAAAGACTTGTGTTTCACTTTTTGGTTTGTGTGGTTTTTTTTTTTTTTTGCGAATAGGTTGGTAGGTATTTGAAAGATGGGTGGACGCTAAACATAGAAAAAACTTGGAATGGCCTAAAAGTACAAAGAATATTGATGGTTTCATTTTTATAAGACAATTGTATTTTTCTTGTTACTGACTTTTAAACTGAGAGACAGATAACAACAAGCAATAGTGCAATGCATGCTGTGATAATAAGAAGATCTTTGTTTTTGTATAAATGATAAGATATATCCATAATTTGACATTTTCAGGGCATTTCCTTCCGGCGTAAAGATAGTAACAACACAGCTTTTTGATAATGCATGGCAAAGAGAACAAGATGAAGCATCGACTACTCGGAGAAATCTTTTATAACTACGTCATCAATGTTACAAACTTCATTGTTTGCTTATACATAATTGTTGGCGTTGATACATACTTGTTTTTAAGTTGTTTTGATGTTTCAAATTTCAGAATTTATTGTTGTTTTGGTTCAACGATTCTAAATATTTATACGCATTGAATAAGATAGATAAAGTTAAGCTTCTGCAAATGTTTTTGTAGAAAGGAACATTCACAACTTGAATATTTTAATGCATAATTGGTTTGGTAAAGTATTTATTCTTCTCTCGTTTAATTCTATAATTAGGAACAAAGTATATTCAATACCTTTATCCAAATACTAGTACTGTAAGTAGTTTTAATTCCACGGTGTTAAAATTTCACGATTTCTCAAAAAGTACCAATCGCGATGGTTTTAATTTCACGCTGCATGAAATTTATTTAATTTCGTATAAGCATTTAAACGTTTCTAAAAACTAATGATAGCATTCACTATGGGTTTAATTTCGAGGAAAAATGATGAATAGTGAAATTAAAACCATCGTGATTATTTGCCAATGTACAGTAATGAAACGGGAGCAACTGTAAGCAGGAAATATTGAAATCTTGGGAGCAATGTCTTAAGTTTTGTATTGACGTGAAAATTATCACTTAATCGAAAAAAAAGAATCACTTATCAATGCTATTGCAATTTTCTGCGGTTTTAGAAATAATTCGTGCTAATCCAGTTTTTTGTAATTATGAACATATGTTCTCGGCAAATGTTGAGATACTGAAAAAAATTGTTTATTACAAAAAATGTTTAGCTTCAGCTCTTCCCAAAAGAAATGTGTGACTGTGTGTTTGTGTATGTATTGAAGTTATTCTAAATATATATAAAATATTATTCCAGATATGATACCTACATGTATTTTGTGGAATCATTAGATGCCTCAGGTATAAACTCCCTAAGATGAAAGTATATATAAATTCTTGAAATTATCAATTACTGGGTTTTGATTTTTCGTGCATTTAGCTTTTAAGCAAAGTCAAAAGTTAGTTGGTTTTTTTTTCTCATTTGAAAAATGATAATTGCTTAAAAAGATATTTCAGATTAATTTACAAGGATAGTTATTTCGCAACTACATTTACGAGACACATTGAATTTAGCTATTTCTTATTTAGAAATTTTGATAATCAGACTTAATTTCAAACTCGCACTGAAGAATAAAATAATCTAAAAAGATATTTCAAGGAGAGTTTCAAAATTTCCTAAAATTTGCCATTCGAAGAATAACCTTTTGCATCGCATTTTCCTTATCAAACTCTATATAATGCATGTATATCATATTAATATTAATACAAACTGTCGTCAAAAAAGTACAGAGAAACGCCATGTTGTACTGATTACCCCAAGTGAACTAAGACCTCATCGTAACAGTAAAATTAAAATCTCGATTTTTGATTTTTTACGACGAGCAGGGCAGTTTTTATTATACAGTGCAATACCTGGTTCCTTTCTAGAAAAAGTGTATTTTTTCCATAAAATTAGTATTTCTGTAATATTTAGGGCTCTTAGGTGATATCTGTTACATATTCTCGAGTGTATACATGTATGTACTTTCAACAACAAGCATATTCAAATTTCTTCAGAATTGTTTATAAATCATTTGTCAACAAAATATTTCTTAAAGAAAATACATGCCCTGAATTAAATCTTTAAAACTATATATTATAATATTTCCTTTGTTAATAGAAGAAATGGAGTATATTGTTTATTGCAAATTTTACAGCATGAATGTTTGAATTAAAACCAATACAGAAAACGACTATGAAATGACTTAATTCCTATAAACTAAATAAAGTGTAACTAGAATGCTAAACCACTTAAAATGCCTTTAGCGTTCATCATGTCAATTACAGTCTGTGAGTATTATTACAATTTTTAGGTTAATTGGCTGGTTGTTTCTGTATGTCCCTTCCAGAAGTTTTCATTTGTGGTAGGACGTCTCTTGCTCTAGTTAACGATGAAAGACAGCAAATTTAGACATTGTACAAAACACTTATGACAATTGAGAGATATTCAGCATAAACTGAGACAGGGGACTAAGTTTCTGCAGTCGTTTTAATGTCCTGCAGTGGGAAGTGAGGATTTTTCTTACTTTTCTACTGTAGGCAAACACGGTCTAACCACTGCAATAAGTGGGCGACTCTTTTTGCTTACTATTTCGGTTTCAGAATTTTCTTGATCTACTTTTCCAATTTGCTTAGACCTAAGCTTAGGTGATGTTTACACCAATTGTTAGACCAATTTACTTCATTTACCTGATAACAGGGTACACGGCGGATGTGATCGGTCGACTGGGGATGCATATTTCTCTTAGGCATCTGATACCACCTCTGTTGAAGTCTTTTTTTTATATTGGTCATTGCTTGTTGCATTCTTTGAACTTTATGTGTATGATGATATTTGAACTGTACAATTATTCACTGTCGAGGAAGTGTATGAAATGTTCAAAATGGACACGAACAAGAAAATATCCAGTCCAATTTACAACATCACTAATCATACATGCAGCAGTTAGGTAGGATGAAGTGTCCAGCAGTATATATGCAAAGAAGAATTTATTTTTATAAATATGATATATTTGAAAAATATGCCCTACGAAAGTGAACGAAAAATACACAAACATCACAATGTGAGAATTGCAGATTAAAGCGACTTAACTTTTTCTAATTAAAATGATAGGTGCATTTATGAAGAGAATGCTTTGTGGTTAGATTCATTTGATGTTGAATTTCTTAGGTGGAAAGAAATGTGGGTGTGAAAGGAGATGGTAAACTTACATGTAGCTTCCAGATATGCTTCTTGTGCTAGACTAAGTACATTCTCTATTAAAGATTTTTTTGCCAACTTCTTTGAAAAAAATTAATGCAAAGGATCGACCTTGTATTGAAGCTTAGGAGAAAATATTTGCTTTTAATTGTTCAATAGCTCTTATTCGTGATTCACAAACTTTATCACATCTCTCTCTCTCTCTCTCTCTCTCTCTCTCTCTCTCTCTCTCTTTGACAAAATCACATATGATAAGATACCTCTTGCTCTTATTTCATCAGAGAAAAACACTTCAATATTACTGTAATATTGAAATCCAGTATCCTTTATCTATGAAACTTACAAATCATCTTTCTCTTCCTTGAACCTGGACAAAGTCAATATAATTTACATAACATAGGGGAGTTAGGTTAAGAATGCATTTCAGTTATCAATGATGAAGGTATGACCGCATATATACTTGATTACTTTACAAATTCCTGTTCACTTCTTGGGAGCATAGGGCCGCATATTTATCTGGGAGAAAATATCATGTTATACTCTCATATATAGACTTTGAAAATCCAAATTCTTACCGATCTCCACGTCCCGCATTGGGATTCGAGCCCGCAACGTAAGGATAAACTCATTACACCGCGAATCTAGGGCACACGCTCTAACCACTGCGCTATGCGGGCGGCAATTTGTTTTTTAAAAACAAACTTTGATTTATACATGTTTAATACCAGAAAGTGTGACTTCACTCATTTTTGAGGTCATTAATTGTGTATTAGATATACATTTGTGTATTAGATATGAATTTAACGCTAAAGTTTGATTTAACTGATCCAGAGGAGACGAGGCTTATTTAATACATTAACAAATGAACTCAAAGGAATTGAATCCCTTTTGTAGCCCAATCTTAATCATGAGTTAGATTTCAAACACTTTCTGTTTACTTTTTCTTAGTTTTCTACACCCTATGAAAAGAGCAAGGTTCTTAATTAAAAGAATACTTCCCTTTCAATCATGAATGTTTTGTAAAATGGTCCTATGGTTGAAAACAAAGAGCAGGTAATAAATGCAAAAAGTTAACGAATGACAGGTAAATGATAACAAACAACAGATCTATGCCTGGAATAATTTAATTTAAAAGGGTCTTTTCTCAGGCGAGATCGGAAAGAAAAAGTGTATATATGGTGGAAGTATTTTTCTTTAGTAATTAGCATGTGCTTTGCTTGCATAATAACAAAATCTAAAAGTTATTACACATTATTCCAAAATCAGAATTCTTTATTTCCTAACAAAATTCAAAAACGTATGAAAAAAATATTTTGAGTTTTATTGACAGATAAAACTAAATTCTGTCATAAGACAGTAATACCCGCACTTAGGTGTTTGCCTCTAAATGCACTCTCCTTCATAATATTGGTAACCAGGGAAGAAGTCACAATAATTCTATGATTTACACAAAATGTATACATGTATTTGTCAAATTGAGCATAAATTTCTCAGATGAACATGGGGGCCCATTGGCTTCTTATGTAAGTATTTCATATACTAAACTCATTACCAGTCTGAAACTTTTAGAATTAAATGATGTAAATTCTGTTTAAAAGAGAATTTTCAAGAAAAGGCTTTGGAAAAAAGTGGGAGAGATGTATGTGAGAGATACAGCTTATGGCGAAGGTTAAAAGAAATTTTCCTCAAAAACCTGTTACGGTTGTGAGCGAATTTCTTAGCTGTTGGTAGTTGTACAGTGACTCAGGGTACACAGACTTGACACCTATTGTCGTTTTTACTGACAACTATACATTATCTATTCTGTGGCTGAGTGACCATGTCCACTCTGCGGCTGTTTTTCATGTTCAAAATAACGTTTAACTATCAACAGCTAAGAATTTCTTTCACAAGCGTGACAGGGTTTTGAGGAACGATTTTTTTGTTAACAAAGTAAAAGTAGCAATAAAACAGATTTAGATTGTTTGTAATGAGACAATAATTTTGTTACCAATCATGATATCAAAAGAAATAAAAATAATGTGAATCTGCTTTAAAAGTAGTTTAAAGCATAATAGTCGTCTGCGTGGAGCAGTGGTTAGAGCGTCTGCTCTAGAATTGCGGAGTAAGGAGTTGATCCTTACGTCGCGGGTTCGAATCCTACTGTAGGTCGTGGAGACCGGTCCTTCGGATGAGACCGTATAAACCGAGGCACCGTGTCGCAGTAGGGGCTGGCACGAAAAAGATCCCTCACTGCTCAATGGCCCTGAGTGCCCAGTATAGGGCAAAATTTGCAGCTCTCCACCGGCAAGTGGTGGCGTCTCAATATGAGTGAAAAATTCTCGATCGAGAGCACACACACACGCAAAACACACAGACAAACAAACATAATATGTTTTACCCGAGGATTCTTTAAGTAGAACTACGCGAATAAATTGAATTAAATTTGATTAATAAATAAATTCATAAATCAAACTAAAATGAAATGAATAGATAAAGTAAATAAATAAATGAATAAAATTGATTAATTAGGTTATATATATATATATATATATATATATATATATATATATATATATATATATATATATATATATATATATATATATGATTAAATTAAGCAAATCTATAAGAGAAAATTAAATAAATAGATTAAATAAGTAAAAAAATAAATAGAAATCAAATGTTACATGTACGCAAGGCGCAAGCAATTGGAAATTCATTTTTTTTTTCAAATAAACTCCCATCATTCTCTTCACATTTTATGAAAAGCAACCAAACTTAAACAATCAAAACAATCATATTAAGAAAGAAATTACAGAAGAAGAACAGCTGCAGAGTGTAATTTACTTATGATATTTCAAACAAATATCTACTGACTAAATTTATGGTTTCATAAAATGGAATATTGCCAAGAGCAAAGTATTTCTCACCACTAGATATCAACACGAACATATTTTATCTCTTTTTCTGGATGCACTGGCATGTCGGGGAGTGGACAGGGAGGTCAGGGACTTGACTGGGACGTCAGGGAATGTCAGGGGACATCAGGGGGTAGACAATGGTAAATGAGGCAAGGTAAGGGGATGTAAGGAGTAGACATATATTTATATATATATAATTTTTTTTTCAAAAACCACTTGACCCCCTAGGGTGAAAATGAAAAATCCAAAACCTTATTGAACATTATGATACAAGACACCAGCAATCATCTTTCAAATGATAATTTGGCTATTGTGTAAAATGTTAGAGGCTCTCTGGGAACCAAGATTTTTAGAAAAAACGTCGCTTCACGACCCCCATTTCAACCATAGGGTGAAAATGAAAATTCCGAAACTTTATTGTTTATCTACAGTACACCACAATGCGTTTTCCAAAACTTGATTTCGGTACTGCATAAAATATAAGAAAGGTTTAGATAACTAGAATTTCTTGTAGAAAAAATTTCGTTTACGACCCTCATTTGACCACCACGGTGAAAATAAAAAATCATTTCCGAAACCTTATTGCACATCAACAGTAAAACCAGCAATCATCTAAAGTTGATTTGGCTACTGCATAAAATGTAAGTGGAGTTCTGGGAACCAGGTTTTTGTAAAAAAAAAAAAAAAAAAAAAAAAAAAAAAAAAACTTTTCTGACCGTTTGGCCAGGGTAAAACCATCTATCATATTTAAAAAGATTAAATGACCACAGCTTAAAATAAAAAAAAAGAAGTTTGAGGAAGAAGAAAATGTGAAGGTCGGACGAACGGACGGACAGACGGACCAGGGTACCAAAAATATACCTGACCTTTCTCTTTTTTTGGGGGGTGGGGTGTTTTTTTTAAATGGGTATAATTATCTAAACCTTCGAAAGTTTTACCGACTATATGATATGAAGCAAGTAGAACAATACGGGATTGTGTAATAGTAAAAAAAAAAAGATTCATTCATTTACTGCTAAAACAACAATAATCTTTTTATGAATGCGGAAGAAATGATCGCCCAAGTTTTGATAAGACCTTAATGCAAATAAATATAGTTTGTTGAGACGAAAAAAAAATCTAGCTGTTTTAGGAGTTAGTCATTTCTTAAGATC